GACCTGGACGAGCTGGATAGCGGAAGCGAGGAGAGCTCCGACAACAAGTCGACGGGCGGCGGCTGTAGCCCCCAGGGAGGGGGCCGTGAGGGGGCCAGGCAGAGGGAGAGAGGGTGCAGCGGCAGCAGGCGTCTGCCAGGCGTTAGCAAACAGAGGCAGGCAGCCAACGCGAGGGAACGGGACCGGACCCACAGCGTGAACACGGCGTTCACCGCACTGCGCACCCTCATTCCCACAGAACCGGCCGACAGGAAACTGTCCAAGATCGAGACGCTGCGCCTGGCGTCCAGCTACATCTCCCACCTTGCCAACGTGCTGCTGCTGGGGGACGAGTGTGTGGACGGCCAGCCCTGTCACAGGTACCACAGCATCCTGCAGAGCAGCACCAACATCAGCAGCAGCAGCCCCCCACTCAGGCCCATATGCACTTTCTGTCTCAGTAACCAGAGGAAAATGGTGAGTCGTCAAAATAAATCAGTATATATTGGTTGACAGGCTGTGGGCTATCATGGAAGGCTGCATGTCATCTCTATAAATGAAAATGGATGGGATTTGGCTATATTTAGATAAAGGGTCAGTACTCTAACATTTGAGCAATTCCATAACAGCAATCACAATCAACAGTATTAATGGTTTTATTTCAATGTAAACTACTACAATTTCTCTACCCTCACAGCTCAGAGATGGAGAAATGCACACAGCCATCTGACATGGGCACGCACTACTGTCAAGACAAGGATGCAACAAGGATGCATACCAAGTCACACTGATGTTTACATGTACCTACGAGTGAAAGAAAAAATCTATATAACTGTACATATTTTTGCAAAATCTTCAGACAAAAAACCCCACTGATATGCACTTTCCGTTCACTACATGTGCGTCTTATCCACTGTGTTTTGGTAAAATTGTAACTCAAGCACAATGTGTAAGGTTGCACCTGACAGTGGGCTATTTCGGTATCAGAAATAGTAAGCCCTAGTGTTGCGCTCCTAAAAAACAGTCTTGCCTCCACCATGCAGCCAGTCACATGGTTGTAACCAAAGCCTAGGCCATGCAGCGGTTGCTGTCAGTAGAGTAGTGGACTGGTTGGCTTGTCTCCTGACTGACTAATCTTTAGCCAGCTGAGGAGAGGGTGCCTTGCTTGATTATTATGAATTGTAACTGCCATTCAAACTCAATTCCATGGCCCCAAATATACTTTGGTAGCTGCAATATTTAATGTAATTTTAACCAGGATAGTCCACTTAGTAAATGAGTATAAACCACTGCTTTCGAGGGCGTCTTGAAATGTAAATGGGGGAGGCAAAACAACAAATATAGAATGTGCTTGAATCCAAATATTATGAATTAAAGTGTTATATGTAGGCCCCGCCCACTAGTACAGCAGAAGCAACCCAACCGTACCACAACATCAAGTCATATTCCATGCCAAATGTAACATGGTGTAGATCAGAAGAAAATGTAACAAACATACAGTGCCAGTCAAAAGTTTGGACACACCTACTCATTCCAGGGTTTTTCTTAATTTGTACTATTTTCTACATTGTAGAATAGTGAAGACATCAAAACTATGAAATAACACATATGGAATCATGTAGTAACCCAAAAAGTGTTAAACAAATCAAAATATATTTTAGATTCTTCAAAATAGCCACCCTTTGCCTTGATGACAGCTTTGCACTCTTGGCATTCTCTCAACCAGTTTCACCTGGAATGCTTTTCCAACAGTCTTGAAGGAGTTCCCACATACGATGAGCACTTGTTGGCTGCTTTTCCTTCACTCTGCGGTCCAACTCATCCCAAACCATCTCAAATGGGTTGAGGTCGGGTGATTGTGGAGGCCAGGTCATCTGATGCAGCACTCCATCACTCTCCTTCTTGGTCAAATAGCCCTTACATAGCCTGAAGGTGTGTTGGGTCATCGCTGCAGAATACTGTGGTAGCCATGCTGGTTAAGTGTGCCTTGAATTCTAAATAAATCACTGACAGTGTCAATAGCAAAGCACCCCCACACCTCCTCCTCCACGCTGGGAACCATACATGCGGAGATCATCCGTTCACCTACTCTGTGTCTCACAAAGACACGGCCGTTGGAACCAATAATCTCCAATTTGGACTCATCAGACCAAAGGACAGATTTCCACCGGTCTAATGTCCATTGCTCGTGTTTCTTGGCCCAAGCAGGTCTCTTCTTCATATTGGTGTCCTTTAGTAGTGGTTTCTTCGCAGCAATTCGACCATTATGGCCTGATTCACGCAGTCTCCTCTGAACAGTTGATGTTGAGATGTGTCTGTGAAGCATTTATTTGGGCTGCAATTTCGGAGGCTGGTAACTCTAATGAACTTATCCTCTGCAGCAGAGGTAACTCTGGGTCTTACTTTCCTGTGGCGGTCCTCATGAGAGCCAGTTTCATCATAGCGTTTGATGGTTTTTGCGACTGCACTTGAAGAAACTTTCGAAGTTCTTGAAATTGTCCAGATTGACTGACCTTCATGTCTTAAAGTAATGATGGACTGTCGTTTCTCTTTGCTTATTTGAGCTGTTCTTGCCATAATATGGACTTGGTCTTTTACCAAATAGGGCTATCTTCTGTATACCACCCCTACCTTGTCACAACACAACTGATTGGCTCAAACGCATTAAGGAAAACAATTCCACAAATTCACTTTTAACAAGGCACACCTGTTAATTGAAATGCATTCCAGGTGACTACTTCATGAAGCTGGTTGAGAGAATGCCAAGAGTGTGCAAAGCTGTCAAGGCAAAGGGTGGCTACTTTGAAGAATCTCAAATATATTTGTTTAACACTTTTTTGGTTACTACATGATTCCATGTGTTTTTTCATAGTTTTGATGTCTTCACTATTATTCTACAATGTAGAAAATAGTAAAAATAAAGTAAAACACTGGAATGAGTAGGTGTGTCCAAACTTTTGACTGGCACTGTATGTAAACACCGCTTTCGGGAGCTCAATGTTATACTGTATGTTGATAAATGTTTACTTGCATGTATTGCACAAGCCTTTTCACAACTCACAAACACACAATAGTTCTGCATGTGTGTCTGTGCAGTATTGGTTGCACCTTTGAAGGCCCAATGCAGCTGTTTTTATATCACCATCAAATCATTTCTGGTTAACAAGTACCTTACTGTACCATAAAACTTTCTCAAGCAACACTTTTGCTAGGACTGTCTGGGACTGGTCTGAGTGGGAAGGGTAAACTGAAAACTAGCAGTTATTGGCATAGAGGTTTGGAACTGTTATTGGTCATGGTCCATTAACCAATTTACCGCATGGTGATGTCACCATGGAAAGCCAAAACTCCCGCCCATGCAAACCTGCTGATCAGAAGGTCCTGTGTAGATTGTATTTTCAACCAGCAACCATCAGGAAATAACACTGATCAAATGTTTTTCACACTTTCAGTGTTAGTTTCATCAGCCGTTGTACAATATAATTTAAAAGACAGGAACAGAATTGACTGCACTGGGTCTTTAACACCTTTAAGCTTAAAACAATATTTTTACTTTATGCATTGATTTGGGTATATAAATAACTTCAAAATCATGCAAGATAAAAATCTTATATGGATGAATTATCCAAAACAATTAACTTGATGTGGCACACTGACTGCAATACACTTACCTCAATGAAGACCCCTGAATGTATTAACCTAATAGAATTATAGGCCTACCTCCAAATGTGTAACATTGTTGTAAACATACTTGAATTTCTCCTAATTTATGTAAGACAATTGTCCTCTGCACATAGCAATCAATGAGAAGCTGCTTGAGAAAAAACAAATGTATTTTTGTATAATAAGTTTTAAAAATCAATCATTAAACTACTTTCAAAATAATATTGGACTGATTCCTTGAATGTGCATGTAAAAAACCTTCTTAGACAGATGTTTACACAGGCAGTCCAATTCTGATCTTTCTCCACTAACTTGACCAATCAGATCAGCTCTTTTGTCAATAATTGGGTAAAAGATCAGAATTGGGCTGCCTGTGTAAACACAGCCTTAGAAATCACTCAAGACAAGACCATTTACTGTGGATTGTGTAGTATAGTCATCAGGTTTACCTAGTAATAACATTAAGCTTTGTGTGAATTTGGTAGCTCAGGTGGAAATGTATTAGTACAGCAGGCACCCATGTTAAGTATAGTAATTGATTGCAGTGCTACACATCTAACATACAATCATGTACACCATAAATAATCAAAACAATATGAATTTTAGTCATCTTTATTTCTTTAGAAAAGTAAATTGGTTTAATCAGATTAAAGAAAGTAGTAACCAATATTAATTACTTAGCTGGCAATGCATCTTCCAGAGAGGATGTCAGTCAGGTCAAGAGGTGGTTCTACCAAAATGACAGTCACTGCACAACGTTCATCTGGTCACCAATTCAACTGTTCATTACAGGTTTGTCCAAAAGGCCAAGGTCAGGAAATGAGCTAACATGAGGATAGGGCTACCGGTAAATCATTTGGCGAGAAGGCAATGACTTGTCATTTTTTGGATGCCTTTAAGTCACATGGCAAGAAGGCGTACTACTGCAATATTAACTGATACAGCAATATCAGGGATATCATGGTTATTAAACTTTAGACTGGAAGCAGCAACATCAAGAGTATCTTAATCATCAAGTGGAATGTTCCATTTCCAAAATACACAAGGCATAATAGTGATACTAATAAAAGGGGGTTCATTTCTGCTTCTTCCCAAATAAATAAACACTTCATTTGTTAATTTTATGAGGTTTTAATTCACAATATATGTGAACTCTTAAGGGTAAGTTAAAATAAAATGGAATAAAAGGAGTGTACTGCTCACATCACAGCCCTTGAATTAAATGTTGAAGTTGGAGAGGGGTGAAAGAAAACAAGGAGGAAAAATAGAAAAACAGGACTGGGAGAGACTAGCACTTCTGTAACAAAAACATTCTACTGCCCCTACTGTGATGTTTAAAATGCGGGAGGGTTGAGGTCTCAGTTCTCTTCCTCCTCCTCGGACTCAGACTCTGGAAGACAGAAAAGAGTAGACTCAAATCAGAACATTACAATTTACATCGACATGAATATTAAAATAACTTTGGTGTTTTTCAAAAAGGTGAATATTTACTAAGAATAGGGCTGTGGCGGTCACAAAATTCTGTCAGCCGGTGATTGTCAAGCAAATAATTGTTGGTGTCGCGGTAATTGACCGTTAATTAACAAACACATTTAGCATCTCCTGGCTTCCACACATGGTCTGCATCAGTGGTTTGTAGGCTTTTGGAATATATACATTTTTTTAAGTAATACATTCATGTAATATAGCCTACACCTTCACAATAAATCCATTATTTTAGACAGGTCTAAAGAAACATGATATGAAGAAAATGTAGTTTATTTCAGAAGAACAGAATAGCATCCTGATCTGGCTATGCCAAATGGCTGTGGGCTACACTAGTTCATTTAGCAGACAGGATTTGCTTAGAATTCCGTGCCATTATTTTATAGTATGAAGAATACAATTGAACATAGCTGAATAAAATAGAAAGGACATTTTCTCCAAACGATTTGAGGGAGTGCGCAAATGCGGCTATTCTGTGTTGAGCAGTTAAGTTAATAGGTACTCTATATGCTTAATTTAGAGTTATTCATGTAACTTTAGTTCTACAAACATTGTATTAAAAATCAAAACATATAGCCCATTGTTAGGCTGCATGATGCGACTAATGATGATTTGAAAAAAGTCGCTTGAAAAGGCATGAGCGCTGCTTTGTTTTTTGCGCAGGCTGTACACACTACATCAGTCACTCATTCACAATTTGACAAGCACATGATAATGCCTTGAATTTCACAGCGGCATCCCCTTTGTGTGGCCGTAATGCATCCTAAAAGAATCCATGCATTTTGCGGCCAGTGGCCGTTGTGCCCTTGGCCCTGAGTGCTGCGGGCTCCAAATCACCTTTCACTCACATGGCTCTCCATGACATGATCGGGTCTTTCTCACAGGCTACAAGTGAAGACAGACACATCGGGGACGCAACTGCGAGCGTCCTTATCCAATTCCAAGGTTCATATTGAAGATATTGGAAGAACTGTCCAAATTTACTTTGTCAGCCAACAAGATGAGTAAGCCTAATAAACAGCAAAAGCACTAGCCTATGTCAATCTACTATCCCCCATAGTACAAAAGTTGACCTATTCTATGTGATAAATGTTTCAAACATAGTCTGGGACCGTTGTGGGATGCGATAGAGCCCAAATTAATACAACCACTAGCATCAAAACCACTTTTTTACACAATGTGGCTGACAACAGATCAGAACGTTTAGCTTAAAATGTTGATAAACTATTAGGCTATTTCTTCACATTATAAGCGCAGCAATGCGCACACGGCAGTAGGCTATAAGCGCGAATGTTCCATTAGCGGGAAAACTCCACTATCAAAAGTGACTGCAAATGCGATTATATATGTAATGGTTTTTTAATAAAAAGGTGAATATCATCTTCCCCAAACTTGAAACTCACGCACTGCTTATGTATGCCAGTTAGGCTCTACACCCCTTGTAAAGCAGATTAATGTGCTTACATTTTATGAAGTTATTTGGCCCCTATAGTTGTGATAAACCTTATCAAAACATATAGGCCTATGCGCTAGTCTACATGAGGTGTGCGACTGATGCGAAAAAGTCGCAAAGAAAGGCATTGTTTCTTGCCTTAAGCTGGGCATCATTCACAAGTAATACTATTTAATTCACAAGTGATAAGCTAAGATTGTCACCCATCAGACTATTCTTGATTTAATCTTGTCTTTACATATATTAAATAATGTGTGAAAATTGTTTTGATTTAGAATGGACCATTATCATGCACCTTTCTTGAAACAGGGGCAGGGGAAAAAAATACATGTCATCTATGTACTTAAATAGTGAATGGAGGATGCTTTTCCTGCGGTTCATTTTCATGCCAGTGTTTGATTAGATTTTCGATTACATTTGCATTGATGTCAGAGTGATTAGAGGGACCAGGCAGTTAGAAAGTTTGGTAGGCTACTAATGACCATCAGCAGCATCAGAGCTTGGAGAAGCGTAATTACTGTGACTAAACGGTCACGTGGAATTTGACTGCCTTCATGACTCGTGACCGCCGGTGTGTCGGAAATACGGTCACAGCAACAGCCCTAACTATGAAAAGTAAGGCATTTCTTTTTACCTTCCTCGGCACTCTTCAGCCACTCAACAAATTTCTTCATCTGCTCGAGGAAAACACTCTTTCCTTTAGCAACATGGGCCTCTGTGTACCACTTAAGAATGGCCTCTTCACTCAAAACATCCGCTGTGTTGGGAGAGGGGGCAAGATCATAAGAATGTTAGGTCAAAGTTCATGCGAGCCAGGGGACCAGGGTTCATTAGGGCACACCATAAAGCTTCAATAGAAAACAAAAATTAATGTTTCTTATTAGACTCCGGGGAAGTCTCTCTCTCCGTTTCAGTCCATTATCTTCCGTTTGGTACCTAAATGACATGTCACATGAGAGCCATTGCACCCCCCACACAATGCCTGTGTCCCAAATGGCACCCTATTCCCTTTATAGTGCACTACTTTTAACCAGGACCCACACCTTTGTAGAGGAGCACCACGATCTTCTGGAAGGCCTTCATGAAGTGGATGTTGTCGTAGCAGTACTCCTGGATCTTCACCAGCAGGATGATCTCAGAGGCTCCCTGGGAGGTGAACGCCTTCAGGAGAGGACTGTATTGCTGTGGAGGAGAGCGAGAGTTAGGCTCCAGGAGGGTTAGAGACTAGATGATCTCAGAGACTCCCTGGGAGGTGAACGCCTTCAGGAGAGGACACTGCTGTGGCGGAGAGAGGACCAATTAGTTTTCATTTATCCAATCTTTGTTTACTAATAGGTGAGTCAATTAAGAACAGATTCTTCGTTGCAATGACAAGATGTCAGGGGCAAGCACAGCAGCAATAAGCACCTACACTTACATTTTAGTCACTTAGCAGATGCTCTTATCCAGAGCAGCTTACAGGAGCAATTAGGGTTAAGTGCCTTGCTCAAGGGCACATTGACAGTATTTTCAACTAGTTGGCTTGGGGATTCAAACCGGTGACCTTTCGGTTACTGGCCCAATGCTCTTAACCACTAGGCTACCTGCCGCCACCTAGGGTGGCATTTAGGACACAGCCTGTGTGTGGCGGAGGGGGGGGGGGGGGGGCACGGTGATTGACTGGACTAAAACCATTTCACGCTCCAATCTGGCCCATATTAGTACCGCCCCACCCACCTCTTCCAATACTATACAGTTCCACAAAACTCTAATATGAAGTTAACATAGCTGAACAGCAACTATTTTAACCTTCATCTTGGTTTGTCTCATTGAGAAATCTTTGGCAAGAGACCTGTTCAAGACCACAGAAGTCTACAGTTAAAGTATTTACCTTCAAGTGTTTGATGGATTGTTCGCAGACCAGCTCTTCCTTCTTGTTCCATTCCACACAGCTCATGACACTGGACCACACGATGCCAATCATCAGTTGTTCAGAGATGCTGGTCTTCTTCATCTCCTCCCTGACGTAGGCAATTATCTAAACACAGCAGGGAACATGTCAATTAACAATGCCCATCTATCAAGCATATATATATACACCCACACTTCGCCTTTTAAAATGATAAACTTGGATTAGCAAACACAACGTGCCATTGGAACACAGGACTGATGGTTGCTGATAATGGGCCTCTGTACGCCTATGTAGATATTCCATTAAAAATCAGCAGTTTCCAACTACAATAGCCATTTACAACATTAACAATGTCTACACTGTATTTCTGATCAATTTGATGTTCTTTTAATGGACAAAGAAATTGCTTTTCTTTTGAAAACAAGGACATTTCTAAGTGACCCCAACCTTTTGAACGGTAGTACCTACATACATACATACATACATACATACATACATACATACATACATATATACATACATGCGTGTGTGTGTAATATATACAGTGGGGAGAACAAGTATTTGATACACTGCCAATTTTGCAGGTTTTCCTACTTACAAAGCAGGTAGAGGTCTGTAATTTTTATCATAGGTACACTTCAACTGTGAGAGACGGAATCTAAAACAAAAATACCGAAAATCACATTGTATGATTTTTAAGTAATTAATTTGCATTTTATTGCATGACATAAGTATTTGATACATCAGAAAAGCAGAACTTAATATTTGGTACAGAAACCTTTGTTTGCAATTACAGAGATCATACGTTTCCTGTAGGTCTTGACCAGGTTTGCACACACTGCAGCAGGGATTTTGGCCCAGTCCTCCATACAGACCTTCTCCAGATCCTTCAGGTTTCGGGGCTGTCGCTGGGCAATACAGACTTTCAGCTCCCTCCAAAGATTTTCTATTGGGTTCAGGTCTGGAGACTGGCTAGGCCACTCCAGGACCTTGAGATGCTTCTTACGGAGCCACTCCTTAGTTGCCCTGGCTGTGTGTTTCGGGTCATTGTCATGCTGGAAGACCCAGCCACGACCCATCTTTAATGCTCTTACTGAGGGAAGGAGGTTGTTGGCCAAGATCTCGCGATACATGGCCCCATCCATCCTCCCCTCAATACGGTGCAGTCGTCCTGTCCCCTTTGCAGAAAAGCATCCCCAAAGAATTATGTTTCCACCTCCATACTTCACGGTTGGGATGGTGTTCTTGGGGTTGTACTCATCCTTCTTCCTCCAAACACGGCGAGTGGAGTTTAGACCAAAAAGCTCTATTTTTGTCTCATCAGACCACATGACCTTCTCCCATTCCTCCTCTGGATCATCCAGATGGTCATTGGAAAACTTCAGACGGGCCTGGACATGCGCTGGCTTGAGCAGGGGGACCTTGTGTGCGCTGCAGGATTTTAATCCATGACGGCGTAGTGTGTTACTAATGGTTTTCTTTGAGACTGTGGTTTCAGCTCTTTTCAGGTCATTGACCAGGTCCTGCCGTGTAGTTCTGGGCTGATCCCTCACCTTCCTCATTATCATTGATGCCCCACGAGGTGAGATCTTGCATGGAGCCCCAGACCGAGGGTGATTGACCGTCATCTTGAACTTCTTCCATTTTCTAATAATTGCACCAACAGTTGTTGCCTTCTCACCAAGCTGCTTGCCTATTGTCCTGTAGCCCGTCCCAGCCTTGTGCAGGTCTACAATTGTATCCCTGATGTCCTTACACAGCTCTCTGGTCTTGGCCATTGTGGAGAGGTTGGAGTCTGTTTGATTGAGTGTGTGGACAGGTGTCTTTTATACAGGTAACGAGTTCAAACAGGTGCAGTTAATAAAGGTAATGAGTGGAGAACAGGAGGGCTTCTTAAAGAAAAACTAACAGGTCTGTGAGAGCCAGAATTCTTACTGGTTGGTAGGTGATCAAATACTTATGTCATGCAATAAAATGCAAATGAATGACTTAAAAATCATACAATGTGATTTTCCGGATTTTTGTTTTAGATTCCATCTCTCACAGTTGAAGTGTACCTATGATAAAAATTACAGACCTCTACATGCTTTGTAAGTAGGAAAACCTGAAAAATCACCAGTGTATCAAATACTTGTTTTCCCCACTGTATGTGTGTGTGTAACAACAAACAGCAAAGGTATCCATCAAGTTCATAGTCACAAGCTTGATGTAATCATTGCGTCCTAGGAACACGGGACCAAATACTAAACTGTTGACTACTTTAATACACATAAGTGAATTTGTCCCAGTACTTTTGGTCCCCTAAAGAAAGTGGGGACTATGTACAAAAACTGCTGTAATTTCTAAATGATTACCTGATATGGAGGAAAATACCCTCAAACAAAAGCTGACAGTCAGCACTTTAACCTGTCATTGTATCATTTCAAATACTAAGTGCTGCATGCAGTACACATCCAAAACAACACAAATGTGTCACTGTCCCAATACTTTTTGAGCCCACTGTATAAGAATAATAGAGAAGCCGGGTCTTACTTCTTTGAAGTTGTCCCCACGCGCCATCATCTCCTGGAGCTCTTTCTGCAGCTCCTTGCGGGACCCAATGGCCTCCTGGTTCCTGGCAAAGTCTGACAGCTCCTTCAGTCCAGCGTCAGTGAAGTACTTCGAAAAATGCTCGCAGCTCCGCTTGTTGGCAGGAAAGAGTTCCTGTGACAGATATTTATATAAGTAATTAGTTCCCATTCAAGATTTTGTTTTAAATCTATAGGCCTATATACACCCTTAGGGCCGGTTTAACGGACACAGAATCTCCATTGAACATGCTTTTTAGACTAGGACTAGTCTTAAAAGGGATACACGACAGAGCCTGAATTCGAACCAGTCTCCCAAGTGGCGCAGTGGTCTAAGGCACTGCATCACAGTGCTAGTTGTGCCACTAGAGATCCTGGTTCGAATCCAGGCTCTGTCGTAGCCGGCCGCGACCGGGAGACCCATGGGGCGGCGCACAATTGGCCCAGCGTCGTCCAGGGTATAGGAGGGAATGGCCGGCAGGGATGTAGCTCAGTTGGTAGAGCATGGTGTTTGCAACACCAAGGTTGTGGGTTCAATTCCCACGGGGGGCCAGTATAAAATAATAATAATAATGTATGTAAGTCGCTCTGGATAAGAGCATCTGCTAAATGACAAAAAAAAAAACCTGTAAGAAGTCTATGGATAAGGTATGACAGAAATCCAAGCTTTGGTTTAGTATCCCTTGCACCATTTCAACATGCTAACGTTATAGTATTTGTGGCACAAATCCCATTAAAGTCATGGGACCGATTAGCATTATTCGCACATCATGTCCAAATCATCCAAAAGTATCTAAAATTAATTGTGAAGCGCAACAAAGTCACTTATAGAGGATTTGAAAATGGTGTGAAATGCTAATATTGGTCCCATGACTAATGGTTTTTGTGCCACAAATGCTAAAATGTTAGCATATGGAAACAGTGCCAGGGATACTAAACCAAAGCATGGATTGCTGTCATCCTTTGTCCATAGACTGCTTACAGCAGGTGTGTCAAACTCATTCCATGGAGGGCCTAGTGCCTGCTGATTTTACCTTTTAATTAAGACTTAGACAACTAGGTGAGGGGAGTGCCTTATACTAATTTGTGACCTTAATTCATCAATCAAGTACAAGGGAGGAGCGAAAACCCTCGGCCCTCCGTGGAATTAGTATGACACGTGGCTTACAGGATAAGAAAAGCAATGTCATTTTGGAGAACTATCCCTTTAAATCTTTGTTACGGAAACCTGTCCTTACTCTTCTATATGTGGGCGGCAGGTAGCTTAGTGGTTAAGAGTGTTGTGCCAGTAACCGAAAGGTCGCTGGTTCTAATCCCTGAGTCGACTAGGTGAAAAATCTGTCGATGTGCCCTTGAGCAAGGCACTTAACCCTGATTGCTCCTGTAAGTCGCTCTGGATAAGAGCGTCTGCTAAAATTACTAAAATGTAACAAATATGTATTGGTATCCTTGGGAGAAAACAAAATATCTATCAAGTAAGGAATGGTAGCTTTACCATCAGCCTGTTGTCCATGCCGACTTTGCGGAGAGCGACAGCAACAGCGTTGATGTCCCTTTCATAGATCCAGGACTTGAACAGTTTCACAGCAAAGGCTGCAGATACTCCTACAAAGTCATAAAGCCTGAATATTATTTAAAAAATTACAGAGCAGCAGGTACCCTGCAATGAACAGCACTGAAATCACTATTTTGTATGAAGTTCATACAAAATAAAATTGCTTGACTGAATACTGTGTCCATTTCAGAGAACATTTAACAAAAATGTGTGTTTCCAATGAAGAGGGCCATGTTCATTAGGGAACACCGTAACCAAACATTTGTAAACTGAAAACAAGCAGCTCTTATTGGACAGTTCCAGGTAAAAATAGTGGTGGGCCGACAGACACTCACCCTCTTTGACCACGTTCTCGTTGAAGAGACTTCCAATGACGGCAGCTGATATGTTTCCATTGGCCAACAGAATGCCAGTGAGCATGGCCAGCTTGTTGCGTTCTGATTCGGTGAACCCTTTTAAAAACAGTAGCAACTGTGGAGTAGATAAAATAATGAGCCTGCAGGGTAAAATAATGAGCCTGCAGGTTAAGTGTTAAAGTTAGTTGATGTGAAAATAAAATATCCCATTCAAATAGCTCATGCAGGTTCCATTATGTGGAACATTCATCAGAGCCAACTGCCAAGCAGGAGGAGTTCAAACCGTCACCTTCTTGATCTCCTCCTCAAACCCTTTCTCCAGGTACTTGTAACGCCGGATTAGCTTGTTAAAAACCTACAAGTCCAAAACAAAGTAAGATGTGACATTGTGGTAGATCCATTATTATACTGCATTGATTAGCTGGGTAGAGCTTCTAGACAGATTCAGCTCCATAGTTGAATATAGATACTTTGCGCTAAGAAATCATTTCCACATCCTCTTACCTGAGCATATGCTTGCATTGTCTCGAGGTCCTCTTGTGCCGTGAAGAGGCAGAACTCTGTGCGGGTCAGGTCGTCAGATATACTCCCTCCTGGGGCTGCAGACAGGTGAAAGGGGAGAAGGAGAGGGTGTCAGTGTGCTGATCTGAACAGTGATTTTCCAAATGGTATGGAAACTGACTTCCAACACTTTACTTCCTCTAAAACATTCCTTGAATACTCTCTCCTTCTCAAAACGCATTGTATAAGAAGGTCAGATGGGAGGGACTTTGGAAAGAGGCAAGGAATCACTGAAAGGTACTGACTTTCAACATTATTTAAAGAACTTTACTCACCCAGCATTCCGCCAGCCACCAGGATGTCAAAGAGTGTCTCTGCATACCGGCGGTAGTCAAGCTTGGCACCAGAGGCATCAAGGAATTTTGCAACAGCTTCCAAATCAGAGCCAGTTTGATTCAAGCCTTGTACGATACTTTCTTGAAACTGTGTAGGGTCAAATCTCTCCTTTTCATCTGTTGAAAAACATGTCAGAATTTCACCACCGGTACCATTTTGACATAGCTAGGTGAACCCAAACAAGTAGTGGCAAATTGGTGAAAATGGAGATGCCCAACTTACCTCTTTTCCTCGTTTTGAAACGCTGGCCGGTTAGCGTTGGCTTTTGCTGCTTTTGATTATTCATAAAAGACACTCTGGATGAGAAAAGTTTAACATTAACGTCTGTGATTGAGCACTATCAAGATAACTAGTCAACACTAGCAGGCTATGTAAAGCTAGCTTGTTGGAAACGTGCTCTGCCCAACAGGATTTCTGTAACGTTAGCTCTGACTGGCTCGCATGGGCCTATACTATGCCTTGTTCTGGCTAACTTTTAGCAAGTCACACCTGGTAATTTTGAGAAATTGCAAAGTTGACATTGTAATCTTGATAAGTCGTGATGAACATAAAACACAATGAAAATGAAGTTAGCTAGCCTGCTTAGTTGCCATCCAAGATGGTAGGCTTTAGTGTGAGCACGGGGACCTTCCCCCATGCGCCAGTTCAGACAGGCCTTGTTTGTGTGGCACCTGCGAAACTCCCATAGCAGCTAACAAGCCACAACTTCATGTAATGCTAACAAAACTTGGAACAAAGGACGTCGATATTCACACGTCTGATTATCGAATATCATGGGTAACTAGCTATCTCTACAGTGGGTAGCTAAATAAAGCCTGTGTTTCAACGTGCCATATCTAACAAAGTCAGTTCTTCCGACATGATAGCTAACGTTAAGTTAACCATTTAGTTTGCTAGGTAGCTAAATTATGCTTGCTAGCTAACAATGCCGGAAAAAGAAATCTATCAACAACACTTTGCTAGCTAGCCAATGTTGGTTTAAACAGACACATGTGTAGATTAAATTGTAAACCGAATGTGAGAAACCTGCAGGTATCCTACCGAAATGTATGCAGATAAAAAACGGTTAGAGAAAAAACAAATCCAAACACCCGATTTCAGTCCTCTCGACCTAACAAAAATACCCTTTACAGAGCCAACCAGTGACCGGTTTTCGGAAGTACGCATGCGTGTTTAAATGTGGCTCTATAGTGTCACTTTCTCTGGGCGGGGGGACTGACGTTGTGTAGATCAAAGTCAGTCGGGGGGGTGGGATACATGTAATATTTATTTGGCATGATATAACTTTCTTGATAATGTGTGTAAATGATTATCAAGCTCAAGCCATGTGACAGTGGTCAATCCCAAAGGTATTTAAACTGCCACAAATGATAGTTCAGAGACAGAGTTTCAGATTGCTGCTTTTAAGTAAACATCAATGATGTCCTCTCCCAACAGTTGCAGCGAATTGATTTTCTATGTAAATGGCCAAAAGGTAAGAAATTATATTTTTCTAAAACTTCTAATATGTGACAATGGCTGTGTTCACACAGGCAGCCCAATTCTGATCTTTTGCCCAATTATTGGTCTTTTGACCAACCAAATCAGATCTTTTGCCAATAATGGGGCAAAAGATCAGAATTGGGCTGCCTGTGTAAAAGAAGAAAAAAAGACTGCTTAATCATATTGAATCAACACTTTATTTACTCTCCATTAGATATTGGTTTGACCATGTATACTGTACTGGTCTTTTGGAATAACATTAGGGATACATGTCCAAACTGCAGAGGACAGTATATTTTCCTTTAGCTGAGCAGCTCAATTGACATTAGTTCCAATTTAAATGGAATAATTAGGCTAATCTCATGCTAAATGTCCTGTCATTTACGCAGTGTAGTTTTCTGGTAAATATCTATTGTGTTTGTGACACTTTCTGTTATTTATATGGTTAGTATGAGGAAATCATATCACTTCAACACTGTAAGAAAATATGAAACAAAAGGCTGCTTTCTAAAATGTAACATTTTGTATAATCTACAGTTTTTCTGCATCTGAAATATTATCTTATACAGTATTCAATATATTGATACATATTCCTCCAGTCCTCCCACCTCAAAATGTTCACTTTTATGTAAAGCACATGATTGTCAGCAGACTGATACACCAATGTCCTGCCTATAGTCACACATAATACTATAGATTAGATGCAGAGGGTATGACATTCTCAAGCCAACTGTGATATCAATTTGACTCTCCAGGGTGCTTCCTGTCTCTTGATGTAGATATGCCTTGTGACTGTTTTCTCACAAACAGAGGCTTGGTTGTCTTAGAATAGATTGTGATCTGCGCGTGTGTGTGTGTGTGTGCGTGCACGCGTGCATTGGCTGGTGTACACATTTCAGATCTCAGAGAGGAATGCCGATCCAGAGGAGGTGCTCCTCAAATTCCTCAGAAGGAAAGGTACTTTTCCTCAACAACATAACAACACCCTTTTTGTGTAAATAACAACACACAATGTCTATGTTCATCATCAAATCCGCTGTGAAAGTCATTTCAAAATGCTTAGCCAAAATCATCTACGTGTCTCTTCTCTATATAGTGCTTCTAACTGGGACTAAGTATGGTTGTGGAGGGGGTGGCTGTGGGGCCTGCACGGTCATGGTGTCCAGATATGACCAACTCCACAACAGAGTTCTGTATCCTTTCTTTCTATTTCTGCCCTCACAACCACATGTGGGACCCCTGTAGCTCAGTTGGTAGAGCATGGCACTTGCAACGCCAGGGTTGTGAGTTCGTTTCCTACGGGGGGCCAGTATGAAAATGTATGCACTCACTAACTGTAAGTCGCTCTGGATAAGAGCATCTGCTAAATTACTAAAATGTAAAATGTAAGAAAACCATTTAATTTAATATTTTACTAAATAACACAGCCACAAAATATCATGACTGAGAAACCCAGTTTTGGGGTAAAATGACTGGAATCTTCTTCAGTTTGCATCACACTATTCTATTCTATTAGACACGGCACTGCTTGTTATATCCTTGACCTCTGATCCTAGCCACTACACTGTTAACGCCTGTCTGCAGCCCATCTGCACCCTACATGGGGCTGCTGTGGTAACAGTGGAGGGTATCGGCAGCACCAAAACCAAACTGCATCCGGTTCAGGTAGGTCCTACTATAGGGTTATATAGGGTTTTGTGATCGTAAATCCTACAAGTGGAGCTCTCCATTCGTTGTGGCTGGATGATATGTATCGTAAGGAAAGCTGATATGTCTATGTTCTTGCAGGAGCGTATAGCCAAGGCCCATGGCTCTCAGTGTGGGTTCTGTACTCCAGGCATGGTGATGTCCATGTACACTTTACTGAGGAACAAACCACATCCCACCATGGAAGACATCAGAGAGGCTCTAGGAGGTAATTCATTTATATTTTATAGCTAAAATATAAAACATGGGCTATTTATTATTATTATAATATTTTATTATTATTATAATCTTGAGTAGTCCAAAGGTCTCCACAAAAACATGGGCTCTAGGTGCATGTCTATTTTCAAACATTATTGACCGTTTTTTGACCACATTCTCAAAGGAAACCTCTGCCGCTGTACTGGCTACAGGCCCATCATTGAAGGATTCAAAACTTTCTGTGATGTGAGTAATGCCTTTAACCCATTTCCACAAGCTAGTTGTTTCATTCAAAGCACATGTCTCTTAACCAAAATGCACATGTTTTCTCTTTTGATTACTTTGACACATGTTCTATAAAATGCATGTGTTACCTATCACAAGGCATCAGAGAATGGAGAGGGATGTTGCCAGAATGGAGAATCAGGGGGAAAGTGTTGTATGGATAATGGAACTAAGCACCACAAGGATAGTGATGTGAGTTAAATACTTTACATTTTCACCTAATGAATTCCAACCTTATACAGTGGGGAAAAAAAGTATTTAGTCAGCCACCAATTGTGCAAGTTCTCCCACTTAAAAAGATGAGAGAGGCCTGTAATTTTCATCATAGGTACACGTCAACTATGACAGACAAAATGAGAAAAAAAATTCCAGAAAATCACATTGTAGGATTTTTTATGAATTTATTGGCATATGATGGTGGAAAATAAGTATTTGGTCAATAACAAAAGTTTCTCAATACTTTGTTATATACCCTTTGTTGGCAATGACACAGGTCAAACGTTTTCTGTAAGTCTTCACAAGGTTTTCACACACTGTTGCTGGTATTTTGGCCCATTCCTCCATGCAGATCTCCTCTAGAGCAGTGATGTTTTGGGGCTGTCGCTGGGCAACACAGACTTTCAACTCCCTCCAAAGATTTTCTATGGGGTTGAGATCTGGAGACTGGCTAGGCCACTCCAGGACCTTGAAATGCTTCTTACGAAGCCACTCCTTCGTTGCCCGGGCGGTGTGTTTGGGATCATTGTCATGCTGAAAGACCCAGCCATGTTTCATCTTCAATGCCCTTGCTGATGGAAGGAGGATTTCACTCAAAATCTCACGATACATGGCCCCATTCATTCTTTCCTTTACACGGATTAGTCGTCCTGGTCCCTTTGCAGAAAAACAGCCCCAAAGCATGATGTTTCCAACCCCATGCTTCACAGTAGGTATGGTGTTCTTTGGATGCAACTCAGCATTCTTTGTCCTCCAAACATGACGAGTTGAGTTTTTACCATAAAGTTATATTTTGGTTTCATCTGACCGTATGACATTCTCCCAATCCTCTTCTGGATCATCCAAATGCACTTCAGACGGGCCTGGACATGTACTGGCTTAAGCAGGGGGACACATCTCGCACTGCAGGATTTGAGTCCCTGGCGGCGTAGTGTGTTACTGATGGTAGGCTTTGTTACTTTGGTCCCAGCTCTCTGCAGGTCATTCACTAGGTCCCCCCGTGTGGTTCTGGGATTTTTGCTCACCGTTCTTGTGATCATTTTGACCCCACGGGGTGAGATCTTGCATGGAGCCCCAGATCGAGGGAGATTATCAGTGGTCTTGTATGTCTTCCATTTCCTAATAATTGCTCCCACAGTTGATTTCTTCAAACCAAGCTGCTTACCTATTGCAGATTCAGTCTTCCCAGCCTGGTGCAGGTCTACAATTTTGTTTTTGGTGTCCTTTGACAGCTCTTTGGTCTTGGCCATTGTGGAGTTTGGAGTGTGACTGTTTGAGGTTGTGGACAGGTGTCTTTAATACTGATAACAAGTTCAAACAGGTGCCATTAATACAGGTAACGAGTGGAGGACAGAGGAGCCTCTTAAAGAAGAAGTTACATGTCTGTGAGAGCCAGAAATTTTGCTTGTTTGTAGGTGACCAAATACTTATTTTCCACCATAATTTGCAAATAAATTCATTAAAAATCCTACAATGGGATTTTCTGGATTTTTTTTCCTCAATTTGTCTGTCATAGTTGACGTGTACCTATGATGAAAATTACAGGCCTCTCTCATCTTTTTAAGTGGGAGAACTTGCACAATTGGTGGCTGACTAAATACTTTTTTTCCCCACTGTACATGTGCAAGATGCGTTAGGGAATGGTATAGTCCCCTTAACCCAACGAGTCCCACCGTAACGCCTGCGTGTTTTGGACTTCTAACCCTTTTTAAACATTGTGTGTTTGAGCTGAGCTACAGACATCTGGGTTGTACCATTGGCTTTGTACATTTCTTCTGCATACGTTAGTCTGTGTGATTAATGAGGGCTGAGCTAGAGCGGTGTTTGTGAGACAAGGGCGGATCCCGAAGGGCCCCGTGGCCGGTTCTTTTACAAAAACGTCTGTTGAGTCCAAATGGTTTCAGCTTCAAACTATTAACAGCTATCAATGAAAAGCTGAGACTGACGGATACGCATGTTTTGTGTCTATTGTGACATAGTGTCTATAATACTATAATAAGTTCACATAGTTGATGTCACAAACTCCACAGTTGTCACTGACTAGTTGGATATTAATTTCCCAGTGAGCAAACAATTTCTGTACTTACAGCATTCATATAAATTCATTTTGATAAGGTTTTCGCTTTGGCGGACCTTATTTTTTTATTGACATTTGTGAATAAAAGTCATGAATGCAACTGTTTATGTGAAATTGTTTTGTGTACTACTCTACTTGTAGCTCTGGTTGTCCTGAAAATAAAATGGTAAAACACTTCATTGTGTGGCTAAATATAAAGGCTGAACATGCAGATAAATGAAAAGCAGATTTTTGCTGGGGTCTCTGGACTAATAGTGTTAACCAAAATGATACCTTAACACTACTTCATGTAAAGGTAATCACAGCATGTAACTACGGTGGCCCTAAGGGGCAAAGTAGCCTTTTAAATTGAGTGGCAGTTGCAATGATGACACCAGGACAGAATGATTGTGTCCTAAAGAAATATTTTGATACCTTGTCAGATCTCGGAGGAGCTGTTCCATATGGACGATGTTCTACCCCTTGACCCATCCCAGGACCTCATTTTCCCTCCAGAACTCATGGTACGTGATATTCAGTCTTCACAGTAAACAGACTTGTCCATTGTCAACTCAAACAGAACTAACTTGCAGAGAACTTTGCTTTCATTCTTTTCTATACCAGCGTATGGGAAAGAAACGTGCCTGTGGCAGTCTGTGTTTCCAAGGGGATAGGGTGAAGTTGATATCTCCAGTAGATCTGTCCAATCTGCTTGAGTTGAAAACAGAATATCCTGAAGCCCCTGTGGTGGTTGGCAACACAACTATAGGTACTAACCTTTTGTTTTGCCATTTTGCTTTTGTGTTTCAGAACTTCTTTCACTCTACCCTAAATATTTTGTTCCCTAAAAATACACCCATATGTTGTATACGGTACAATAAATATTCATCCCAATGACTACTAAGCCACATTGTATCTATTATGCATGTATTTATTTTGAGCAGGACCAAATATGCAAGTGAAAGGAGTCCATCATCCTCTCATCATCTACGCCGGGAGGGTTTCAGATTTACATACTGTGAAGTGGGGGAAGAACGGTAGGTTTAGAAGTGTATTTATTGTCCGTTAATGGAAATAACTTTTCAGGTTTCTATAATCTACTTGCTGTGTGCTCATGTTCGTGCAGGTGTGAGTGTTGGGGCTGTCTGCACCCTGTCCAGTCTGAAGGAGGAGATGGAGAGGGCTGTGAGGGAGATGGAGGCAGAGAGAACCAGGGGGTACCAAGCCCTGCTACAGACCCTCCAGTGTCTAGCAGGGAAACAGATCCGCAACATGGCTGTAAGCCCTCTAACTATTACCCAGATACAGATGTTCTATCATAATTTGACCCGTTTCTCACAGCAGGAAAGTCATCCTGCAGCAACAGGACATTTGAATTATTATGTGGATTATAATTAATGGACATTTTGTATTTGTATTGGCTGATACATTTTTAGTTAGGATAAATCGATGTTAAAGTGGAAATTACCAACTTTAGAAGCCTTTTTAAACCTTCAATACACTACAATTTGCATTTCCTGCTGCACAGGAAAATTATCTGTGACAACAGAGTGATCAAATTAAGATAGCACACCTGTATGTACCCTTTTCACACTGTCGTGCCGACCCATACTAAACTGTGTTGGCTCAGATATGCTCTTCTCACATTGTCCTTTTCAGCATGGTTCCAGCAATTATGGTCAATGCGTAACCAGGAAAGCACAGACATTACAGCTTGGCTTGGCTCTATAGTGTGAAAAGGGTGTCGCTAGGCCACTGTCGTGCATAGGCCAGTCGTATGACATTAGACCACTGCATTACTCTTGCCTGAAAGCCTTATTGATGTGTTTTATTTGATTGGTTTTCTCATGTCCCATGTCTTACAGACCATTGGAGGCAATATCCTCAGTGCCAACCCCAAGTATGATCTCAATAGTGTTCTAGCTGCCTTGGACTGCACGCTACGGGTCATGTCTAAAGGTACTGTTGGCCAAAGCATTGATTCTCATTGATTTTATCATTTTCTTTCAGTTCGTGATCATTCAATATCACATGACCTAAATGGGAAGGACATGGTTGATCGAGTGATGAACTAGATTCATAGTATGAAACTGTCTTTTTGTTATAGAAAATGGGACAAGGGAGATCACTCTGAATGAAGAACTCTTCACTGGCTTTGGCAAGACAGCACTTAGACCAGATGAAGTCCTCCTGTCCATTGACATCCCCTACTCCAAACCAGTGAGGAATAACTGCTTTACTCTCTCATACAAATACCACTCTGGACATTGATGATGACCTTAGTTTACTCTTTCTGTTGTGAATGTGATGTCAGCACAAAAGCATTATGCTTTATATAAAGCTTTGAGTACTGAGGATTTGGTTAATTGGTAAGTGAACATGAATAATCTGTTGAGAGGTTTTCAGGTTGGAGAAATGGTCTGTTGACTGTATTGAGGTTGTCTGTATTGAGGTTGTCTGATAATTGACTGTATTGCCTTCGGAAAGTATTCAGACCCCTTGACTTTTTCCACATTTTGATAGGTTACAACCTTATTCTAAAATGGATTAAATCGTTTTTTCCCCTAATCAATCTACACACAATACCCCATAATGACAAAGCAAAAACAGGTTTGTAGAAATCTTTGCAAATTTAGAAAAAATATAAAATATAAATATCACATTTACATAAGTATTCAGACCCTTTACTCAGTACTTTGTTGAAGCACCGCGATTACAGCCTCGAGTCTTCTTGGGTATGACGCTACAAGCTTGGCACACCTGTATTTGGGGAGTTTCTCCCATTCTTCTCTGCAGATCCTCTCAAGCTCTGTCAGGTTGCTGCACGGCTATTTTCAGGTCTCTCCAGAGATGTTCGATCAGATTCAAGTCTGGGCTTTGGCTGGGCCACTCGAGGACATTCAGAGACTTGTCCCGAAGCCGCTCCTGCGTTGTCTTGGCTGTGTGCTTAGGGTCGTTGTCCTGTTGGAAGGTGAACCTTTGCCCCAGTCTGAGGTCCTGAGCGCTCTGAAGCAGGTTTTCATCAAGGATCTCTCTGTACATTTCTCCGTTCAGTTTTCCCTCGATCCTGACTAGTCTCCCAGTCCCTGCCGCTGAAGAACATCCCCACAGCATGATGATACCACCACCATGCTTCACTGTAGGGATGGTGCCAGGTTTCCTCCAGACGTGACACTTAGCATTCAGGCCAAAGAGTTCAATCTTGGTTTCATCAGAGAATGTTGTTTATCATGGTCTGAGAGTCTTTAGGTGCCTTTTGGCAAACTCCAAGCGGGCTGTCATGTGCCTTTTACTGAGGAGTGGCTTCCGTCTGGCCACTCTACCATAAAGGCCTAATTGGTGGAGTGCTGCAGAGATAGTTGTCCTTCTGGAAGGTTCTCCCATCTCCACAGAGGAACTCTAGAGCTCTGTCAGAGTGACGATCGGGTTCTTGGTCATCTCCCTGACCAAGGCCCCTCTCCCCCGATTGCTCAGTTTGGCCGGGCGGCCAGCTCTAGGAAGAGTCTTGGTGGTTCCAAATTTCTTCCATTTAAGAATGATGGAGGCCACTGCGTTCTTGGGGACCTTCAATGCTTCAGAAATGTTTTGGTAGCCTTCCCCAGATCTGTGCCTCGATACAATCCTGTCACGGAGCTCTACGGACAATACCTTCAACCTCATGGCTTGGTTTTTGCTCTGACATGCACTGTCAACTGTGGGTCCTTATATAGACAGGAGTGTGCCGTTCCAAATCATGTTCAGTCAATTTAATTTACCACAGGTGGACTCCAATCAAGTTGTTGAAACATCTCAAGGACGATCAATGGAAACAGGATGCACCTGAGCTGAATTTCGAGTCTCATAGCAAAGGGTCTGAATACCTATGTAAATAAGGTAGTTCTGTTGTTTGTTTTGAATACATTTGCAAACATTTCTAAAAACCTGTTTTCGCTTTATGGGGTATTGTGTGTAGATTGCTGAGGAAATTGTTTTATTTAATCCATTTTAGAATAAGGCTGGAACGTAACAAAATGTGGAAAAAGTCAAGGGATCTGAATACTTTCCGAAGGCACTGTATGTATGTTAACTGTATTATGTTTGTTGACTGTAGTACAGTATTTATTTTGACTTTGATCTCTGCAGTGGGAGTTTGTGTCGGCCTTCCGTCAGGCCCAGAGGAGGGAGTTTGCCTTCTCCATAGTCAACGCTGGGATGAAGGTGGTCTTCAGGGAAGGCACTAACATCGTGGAGTCTCTCAACATCTACTACGGAGGAGTGGGACCCACACTGGTCAAGGTTGGACGCACATGCCAGAAGCTTGTTGGCCGGTATGCAGACTGACAACAACACACTTTATAGACATTGCAGACCTGGGTTCAAATACATGAGTATTTGGTTATTTAAATACCTATTTTCTGTGTATTTGAGTATTTTCAAATAATGTGGCCCGAATCAACTGCAATTTCCTATAAATAGCGTACTATTTGAAAGTTTTTTCAAATACTTATTTCAAATACCTGGTTAAAATGCATGGGAGTGTATTTCAGTAGGGGATTTGAATATTTTCAAATACATACCAATACTTTCAACCTGGACTCCGGGGTAGATGTAACATAGTAAATGTAATTAGTATGATATGTTACGTTTCGTATGGTATTTATTAATTTATGGATGTCCATAATCCATTTCGTATTTTATTTTACAATTTTAAATGTGTGTGATATGTAACGAATTGCAATTCGTACAATATGTTGCAAATTTGCAAACGTATGATATGTCACAAATTCCAATTTGTTGTGGCTAACGTTAGATAGGTGGCTAATGCTAATGTAAGCTAGGTGGCTAATGTTAGCTAGGTTAGGGTTAGGGTTAGCTAACATGCTAAGTAGTTGCAAAGTTGCTAATTAGCTAAAATGCTAAAGTTGTCCGTGATAAGATTCAAACACGCAACCTTTGGGTTGCTACACTATGTGTTACAGTTGAAGTCGGAAGTTTACATACACCTTAGCCAAATACATTTAAACTCAGTTTTCACAATTCCTGACATTTAATCCTAGTAAAAATTCCCTGTCTTAGGTCAGATAGGATTACCACTTTATTTTAAGGATGTGAAATATCAGAATAATAGTAGAGAATGATTTATTTCAGCTTTTATTTCTTTCATCACATTCCCAGTGGGTCAGAAGTTTACATACACTCAATTAGTATTTGGTAGCATTGCCTTTAAATTGTTTAACTTTGGTCAAACGTTTTGGGTAGCCTTCCACAAGCTTCCCACAATAAGTTGGGTGAATTTTGGCCCATTCCTCTTGACAGAGCAGGTATAACTGAGTCAGGTTTGTAGGCCTTGTTGCTCGCACACGCTTTTTCGGTTCTGCCCACAAATGTTCTATAGGATTGAGGTCAGGACTTTGTGATGGCCACTCCAATACCTTGACTTTGTTGTCCTTAAGCAATTTTGCCACAACTTTGGAATTATGCTTGGGGTCATTGTCCATTTGGAAGACCCATTTGCGACCAAGCTTGAACTTCCTGACTGATGTCTTGAGATGTTGCTTCAATATATCCACATAATTTTGGCTCAGTCAGATCCTGGACTTGAACCCGATCAAACATCTCTGGAGAGAACTGAAAATAGCTGTGCATTGACGCTCCCCATCCAACCTGACAGAGCTTAATAGGATCTGCAGAGAAGAATGGGAGAAACTCCCCAAATACAGGTGTGCCAAGCTTGTAGCGTCATACCCAAGAATAATCGAGGCTGTAATCGCTGCCAAAGGTGCCAAAGGTGCTTCAACAAAGTACTGAGTAAAGGGTCTGAATACTTATGTAAATGTCATATTTCCGTTTTTTATTTTTAATACATTTGCAAACATTTCTAAAAACCTGTTTTTGCTTTGTAATCATGGGGTATTGTGTGTACAATGATGAGAAGAAAAAACAACAATTTAATCAATTTTAGAATAAGGCTGTACCGTAACAAAATGTGGAAAAAGTTAAGGGTATGTTCCGAATGCACTGGTCAAAAGTTTTAGAACACCTACTCATTCAAGGGTTTTTCTTTTCTTTTTACTATTTTCTACATTGTAAAATAACAGTGAAGACATCAAAACAATGAAATAACACATATGAATCATGTAGTAACCAAAAAAGTGTTAAACAAATCAAAATATATTTTATATTTGAGATTCTTCAAATAGCCACCCTTTGCCTTGATGACAGCTTTGCACACTCTTGGCATTCTCTCAACCAGCTTCATGAGGTAGTCACCTGGAATACATTTCAATTAACAGGTGTCCCTTATTAAAAGTTTATTATTTATTTATTTGTATTTATTTATTATTTATTTATTTATTTATTTAAAAGTTCATTTGTGGAATGTAATTGCTTCTTAATGCGTTTGAGCCAATCAGTTGTGTTGTGACAAGGTAGGGGTGGTATACAGAAGATAGCCCTATTTGGTAAAATACCAAGTCCATATTATGGCAAGAACAGCTCAAATAAGCAAAGAGAAACGACAGTCCATCATTACTTTAAGACATGAAGGTCAGTCAATACGGAAAAAGTTTCTTCAAGTGCAGTTGCAAAAACCATCAAGGGCTATGATGAAACTGGCTCTCATGAGGACCGCCACAGGAATGGAAGACCCAGAGTTACCTCTGCTGCAGAGGATAAGTTCATAAGAGTTACCAGCCTCAGAAATTGCTTCCCAAATAAATGCTTCACAGAGTTCAAGTAACAGACACATCTCAACATCAACTGTTCAGAGGAGACTGTGTGAATCAGGCCTTCATGGTCGAATTGCTGCAAGGAAACCACTACTAAAGGACACCAATAAGATGAAGAGACTTGATTGGGCCAAGAAACACGAGCAATGGACATTAGACCTGTGGAAATGTGTTACGAGTCCAAATTGGAGATATTTGGTTCCAACCGCCGTGTCTTTGTGAGACGCAGAGTAGGTGAACGGATGATCTCTGCATGTGTATTTTACACCGTAAAGCATGGATGAGGAGGTGTTATGGTGTGGGGGTGCTTTGCTGGTGACATTGTCAGTGATTTATTTAGAATTCAAGGCACACTTAACCAGCATGGCTACCACAGCATTCTGCAGCGAAAATATCATACTAATTTAAGTGTCCCAGATTTACGTTTGCTATGTCACGTATGAGACCAGGCTGATATATTCCAATATTCAACTTGTCTTTTCATCAAATAAATATCTGAATACGTACTTCAAAATGTACTGTATGTGAAAGTAATTGAGATATTTGAAATAGTATTTGAACCCAGTTCTGATAACTTTTTATAAAGAATTGTAGTTATGTGCTCTGCGTTGAGTTAAAATTAACCAAACTGAACTGAACTGGTGAACTTAACTGCCGATCTTGTGAACTGCAATTGAAGTGTTGGTTGATTGGCTCAGGTCCTGGGGGGAGGAGCTTCTGGCTGATGCCTGCTGGCTTTTAGAGGAGGAGGTGGAGCTGTCTGACTCCGCCCACGGAGGGAAGGTGGAGTATCGCAAGACCCTTACCACCAGCTTCTTCTTCAAGTTCTACATGCAGGTCCTCCAGGAGCTCAGAGAGAGGGTACATATACAGGACAGGCACAATCCTTAATTATTTTTCAGTAAAACAGCAACGCTGCCACTTGTTTTGCTCAATCTGAGGGATGTGACAATATTTGAGAATACCAATATTACATTGGCTCTAAAAGGTGTTTTATAATCATCGTTGCTATGCTTCATGTTTCTTGATTTCTTGATTTCTACCCAATTGTGCAGGATGTGGATGTGTGTGGATGTTTACCCCTTGAGTACCTCAGTGCTCTCAAGCCTTTCAAAAATGAAGTGCCCCAGGGACATCAGTCTTTCCAGGTTTGCTATCAACAATGACTTTTATGTAAACTGTTACAAAACTTACTCCAATGGAGGATGGTTGTATCCCCATATTGTCTGTCTCTTTCCTCTGCAGCTTGTGTCCAATGCCCAGTCCTCCCAGGACCCTGTGGGCCATCCCATGATGCACCAAGCAGCGTTCCAGCAGGCTACTGGAGAGGCCCAGTATTACGATGACATACCACCTGTCCAGGGGGAACTCTTTGTCTTCATGGTGACCAGCACCAGAGCGCACGCCAAGATCATGTGAGTCTATCTTCTATGGTAGTGTGTCATTATGTGACTGTTTTTGGATTGGCCATACAAACCTTTACAGTTGGATCTGTATGATAAGATAATCACCTAAATCCAGACTCGTCTTTTTGAAACTGCATGTTGTTGTTTTCTTCTTTTTTTTTGGGGGGGGGGGGTCTCCCCTTTTTCGTGGTATCCAATTGGTAGTTACAGTCTTGTCCCATCGCTGCATCTCCCGTACGGACTCGGGAGAGGCGAAGGTCGAGAGCCATGAGCCCTCCGAAACACGACCCTGCCAAGCCGCACTGCTTCTTGACACACTGCTCACTTAACCAGGATCCAGCCACACCAATGTGTCAGAGGAAACACCGTACAACTAGTGACCGTGTCAGTGTGCAAGCTCCCGGCCCGCCACAGGAGTCGCTAGAGCGCAATGGGACAAGGATATCCCGGCCGGCCAAACCCTCCTCTAACCCATACGACGCTGGGCCAATTGTGCACCGCCTCATGGGTCTCCCAGTCGTGGCCGGCTGTGACACAGCCCGGGATCGAACCCGGGTCTGTAGTGACACCTCGAGCAATGTGATGCAGTGCCTTAGACCGCTGCGCCACTCGGGAGGCCGCATGTAGGTTTTCTGATCATGTGTCTTTATTCCACTTCAAAACCAGCAACATTGACCCATCTGAAGCACTTGGCATGACTGGGGTAGTCACGTTCCTATCAGCTGGTGACGTCCCTGGTCAGAACCGGCGGATGTGGTTCAATAACCCAGAGGAGCTCTTTGCTGAGGAAGAGGTAGGCTATCGTACTGTACCCTCTCACTACCATGCCTAGTCTGTAGCACCGTACCATAGACAGACAGAAAGTATGACCATGGCAATGACTGAGGATGATAATTGAGAATGGAGAACCGCTGTTCTAATGGTATTTCTGATTAGGAGAGGTCTATTATACTGTATATTGTCTTACCATGGTGGTTTTTGATTGATTGATTCGTTTGTTGATTGATTGGTTGTTCCTGTACAGGTGTCTTGTGTGGGGCAGATCATTGGGGCCGTGGTAGCAGAGAGCAGAGAACAGGCCAGGAGAGCAGCTCAAAGGGTAAAGGTTACCTACCAGGATCTACTTCCTGTCTTCTTCACTATAGAAGAGGCCATCCAGCATCAGTCCTTTTTTGACCCAAAGAGGAAGCTGGAGAGAGGAGACGTGGACAAAGCCTTTGAGACTGTGGATCAGATTCTGGAGGGTAAAACACAATGGATTACATCTGTGTAGCTGCTTCTTCTAATGCGAGTTCATGTCGTCAAATGTCTTGATGATATGTGATTGTGTTGTGAGCAGATGAGATCTACTTGGGAGGTCAGGAGCATTTCTACATGGAGACTCAGGGCCTTATTGCAGTGCCCAAAGGAGAGAATGGAGAATTGGAGCTGTTCGTTGCCAGCCAGCATGCAGCATACACTCAGGTTAGACACACATAAACTATCTATGTTTTGGTTTTCTTCTCTGTTATGTAGCTAGCTACATTGGATATGGGCATCTTGTTAACCCGCCAATCGGAATCTTTGATTTTTGACACACTACTACCATCTGAGTGCCCCAATGCTGGTTGATTGGTATGATCAGACAAAAAGTAATCCAATCGAAAAGTTATACCAACTTCTTATTTGAATGTCCTTTGTTTTGTCTCTGCAACCCCAGGAAGTGGTAGGAATCACTCTGGGCATCGACTCCAACAAGATCACATGTCACGTGAGGAGGTTGGGGGGAGCGTTCGGGGGCAAAGTCATGAAGATCGCCTCCCTCTCTGCTATCACTGCCACAGCTGCAGTCAAGTAAGAGCTTTCAACGACAGTGTTGATAACACACATTAGTAGAATATAATACATTGAATACTTCGAGTAAGTATGCCTATGTTTTCATTGTAGAACAGGGCGAGCAGTACGCTGTGTTCTGGAACGTGGAGATGACATGCTGATCACCAGCGGCAGACACCCCTTCCTAGGAAAATACAAGGTATTGTAGAGTAGCCCTCTCAGATGAGCATCATCAACAACAACTGTATCATCAGTGGAATTTTACCTCAGCATTTCTAACGACCGGTTTTCTCTTAGGTGGGATACAACAACGATGGAACCATCATGGCAGCGGACATCACCTACTACAGTAACGGGGGGTGTACCCTGGATGAATCATCATTCGTAAGCTTGTTAAGAACTTTGAATTCAATACTGTGTATGACTCAAATGTTATCTGAGATTGTTCAATATATTGCCTGGTATCAGTTGAAAAGTCCTAGACAACAAGGACTGATGATTCTCACCACGTTTAAAAATGGACAGCAGAAACATAACCTAAAATAAGACACATTTTAATTTCCATGTAATGTGCTGTGATTCAGATCATGGAGAAAGCCCTGCTCCACATGGACAACGGCTACAGGATCCCTAACCTGCGTGGGCGTGGCTTGGTGTGTAAGACCTACCTGCCCTCTTACACGGCGTTCCGAGGCTTCGGAGGACCCCAGGGACTCATGGTGATGGAGAGCGTGCTGCACGAGGTGGCTGTCAAATGTGGCCTCCCTCCACAGAAGGTTAGTGAGAGGTTACTGGAGGGTTCAGGGTCATGTTCAGTTAGTTAATTACCCACCTTTCATCTATCCGTCCATCCATCTATCCGTCCATCCATCCATCCAATCTTCCTACTGAAGATTCATGTGTCTCTGCAGGTGAGGGAGATCAACATGTACCGGGAGGAGGAGTGCTACACCCACCACAAGCAGCTCTTCTCCCCCCGCGACATGCTCCGTTGCTGGGACGAGTGTCTAGACAAGGCTGGGTACCACGATCGCCTCCAGGCCATCCAGCAGTTCAACACCTACAACCGCTGGAAGAAGAAGGGCATCTCTGCTGTGCCTATGAAGTTTGGCGTCGGGTTCTCCAAAGGCTTCTACAACCAGGTGAGGATGAAGAACTCCCTTTAAATATATGGCAAATTTAGAATGCCCCATGTTCATGTTTCCACTGTGCTAGGAAGATGATAATGTCAGTTCTTGAACTGAACATGCTCTGACAAAGGACGTTGTAGACTGAAAGCTTAGCTCATTAAACACTGTAACTTGTGATTGGTTCAGGTGTGCGGAGACTGCTTTTCATAGCTGTAAGCATTGTAAGTTACTGTATAGAAAGAACTTCTGGAGTATAAACTGTGTTCATCCCCATAGAGATACAATATAACAGTTGTTCATGATCTTGTTCCACCTCTGCTCCAGGGTGCAGCTCTGGTGAACGTCTACAAGGATGGCTCGGTGCTAGTGACACACGGGGGCACAGAGATGGGTCAGGGCATCAACACCAAAGCCCTCCAGATCGCCGGTCGTATCCTGAAGGTGCCGATGTCCTCAATCCACATCAAAGAGACCTGTACAGGCAACGTTCCCAATGCTGCACCCTCAGCAGCCTCCTTTGGCACAGACGCAGTGGGCATGGCAGTCAAGGTATTTCAACGTAGCCTGGTCTCCGATCTGTTTGTGTTGTCACGCCAGCTCTTATGGACAATGACCATTGGAGTTGGCAAGACGGCACAAACAGATCTGGGACCAGGCTAGCTCCAACGATCTGTTCTCACAGGCTTCTCATAGGGTTATAAAGACATACGGTATAGATGTGTTTATTGTACTCTTACCAACTGGTACTGTGTTTTGATTTCAGGATGCTTGTGAGAAACTGATGAGGCGCTTGAAGCCAGTCATGGAAAATCATCCCAAATATACGTGGCAACAATGGGTAATCAACAAACATCCACCAGACTATAATAAACTCAATATAATGTTGTTTTTGTGTCAATCTCCATAATGGTATAGCATACAATAACTTGTGTTCTTTCCCACAGATTGTTGAGGCTTATTGCCAGAAGGTCAGCTTATCTGCAACTGGCTTCTTCTTGTACGTACCCTGTCAATACTGTAGACTGTAGTGTGTAATGAAGCAATGTAACGTATCACTGACTGTTATCACTGAAATGGCACGATTACGGTGCTCATATTAGGAAAGTCTCAGTCATAAGTAGGCTATCCTAATATGGGCACCATATGGGTTTCAGGGGACCTCACACGGGTGTGGACTGGGAGAACAGCGAGGGGTCAGCCTACTATTACTTCACCTTTGGGGCCTGCTGCTCAGAAGTGGAGATCGACTGTCTCACTGGAGATCATAAAGTACAGTAGTATTACCTTTTGTCTACATCAGTGAAATGTTCGTTAACACTTTACATCATACCTGCAGGCATAATGCTTTATAACTTGCAATAAGCATGTATGAGCCTTTATAATGTCTTATATGTTAAGTCTCAAGGACGTCATTGGCTTAATACAATTAACTGTGTGTGTGTTACAGAATCTCAGAACAGATATCGTGATGGATGTTGGGAGGAGCCTCAACCCAGCTCTAGATATAGGACAGGTACAGTATGTCTGGCACTCACAGCTTTGGTGGCTATATATTTCTACAGTACTATGGACCTATATAGGATGTATTCAGTAGCATACATTCCAATATGACTGGAGACCTTCAAGTTAACAGGATGCTATATATTCCAGATCGAGGGAGGCTTCGTCCAGGGCATAGGCCTGTACACCATAGAGGAGCTGCAGTTCTCTCCTGAAGGGGTTCTGATGACCAGGGGTCCATCCCAGTACAAGATTCCTGCCCTCTGTGACGTCCCTCCTCAACTTAATGTCCACCTGCTGGCCAACGCACAGAACCCACATGCCATCTACATGTCCAAGGCAAGAAAAACGACATCACGTGACACATCCATAAAGGCATAAATACAGATCTTTTTTGGGACTGAGCAATTTGCACCATGCCAAATTGTCAAGTTCAAGTTTAATTGTTGTATAAAACACAAAATGCTTTCATCCACAAGCTTCCTGAGGATTCACTTCCTAAGTGGTAATTGATGGTCGACCATCTTGTTACAGGGTATAGGGGAGCCTCCAGTTTTCTTGGCCAGCACCATCTTCTTTGCCATAAAGGAGGCAGTTGCTGCAGCCCGTAGAGAGAGGGGGTTAGGGGACAGCTTCCCTCTAAGCTCCCCTGCTACTGCTGAGAGGATACGCATGGCCTGTCAGGACCAGTTCACTAAGATGGTAACATTTCTTCATTTCAAAGGACTGGTTTCCCAGAGGACTCAGATCAAGCCTAGTTCTAGACTAAAAAGCTGTTTGATGGAAATTCTAGTTCAGGACTAGGCTTGATCTGTGTCCTCTATCTGGCCCATGTCTACGGTTTTGGTCTCTCCAATAACATTTGTTTAACAGCATTATTTCCCCCCCCCCCTCAAGGCTCCATCTTCAAAGAAAGGAACATTCAAACCATGGAGTATCAACGTATGAGCCAACTGAAGATGACTTGGTAGCCTGGTCAGACCTGGGCTTGGCTCCAACTATGAATCATTCACCTTCATCTTAATGTATTGTTGGGTCTTGGTGGCTCGCTTGCAGATTGTGTACTTTGTGGATGACTTGGAAATGTGTCTAGAATATTATGTGCTTGAGATTTTACTTTTGTCCTAGGACCTAGGGTAAGAAATTCACCATCTGGTGTTGTTTGGTCATGCATTTCTTTGGCTGTTTGTTTCAACTTTAACATCCTGCATCTGTGACCTACAGCCAAGTGCAGTCAACATACAGAACCCAGACTCACCTAAAATTAGAACTGAACTTTGGTTTAATTCTGTGTTGTGAAGCATTCTGATGTCTGGCTAATAAATTATTAATTTGTGAAGCATGGATTTCCATATTTAAGTTGAGAAACATGCAATTATTGAAAGTGTAATAAGAAAGGCATACATGACATTGGACAGATTCATAGGATGGACATACAATTGGACAACCCTACCTTTTACATTCAATTTAATTTGAGACAAACTCATTTTTTTAAGCAAAGTATAGGTTGACAGCAAACGCAAAGGCTTATTCTATTTAAAGTAGTACAATCATACAGTGTAGGTGTTATTGATAATTATTCAGCTAAATATAGAATTTATGTTAGTAACGATCTGTGATTAGGTAATATTCCTTATGGCAGTGATCAATACTGTACCTCATTGATTGACAAACCAGAATGTTATTTTAATTCAGGGAATATTCAAAGCCCATGGTTGGAATGATCCTGGTTTGCTGGTTGGAATCTGGAAAATAACAATTGTTGACATTACTCCTGATACTCCTTGGATTTCAAACAGTCATGGTTGCCACGTGAATAAGGTACAGTATATTGAGCTGGTGACTTGCCGGTTCCATTTCACTCCCTACCCCTTCTCCTTGGCCCTAACTCATTTATGTTTGCAGATCTGTAAGATGGAAGCAGTATGAAAACTCCATATTCAAATTGGCAAACATTGATGGGTTAGAGTCAAGCATTATGGGTTGGGGTAGGGAGCGAATTGAGACTGGCTGGTGGTATCACCTTACCTTCTGAGTAAAGGGGGTGTTACAGGCCAGACAGGTCCTTTCTGGGGTAGCAGGGCTGTCCAGGGTAAAGGGCCCCACCACACCAGCCTCTACCCGGGCTGCTGCCACTGCGTCTTTAATGGCGAAGAACACAGAGCTACCCAGGAACAGCACTGGCTCTCCGATACCCTGTAGAGAAGAAGATTTACTTTATCGTCAATTGTCCTCGACAGAACACTCTTCACTGATGAATGTAGACGCCAAAGGTCTTGGTTATAGACTAACTAGTTTAACTATAGTTTTTCCTGATCACACACACACTTCTCTCACCTTAGATGAGTAGATGGCATGTGGGTTGTCAGAGCCTGAAAGCAGGTAGACGTTGAACTGCAGTGGTATGTCACAGACAGCAGGGATCTTGTACTGGGAAGGACCACGTGTGTACAACACTCCCGATGGAGAGAACTTCAGCTCCTCCATGGTGTACAGACCCAAACCCTGGATGAAGGCGCCCTCAATTTGGCCAATGTCTACAGAGGGGTTGATGCTCCTTCCAATATCCATAACAATGTCTGTCCTCACCGTCTAGACATGGGCAGAAAACATAAAATTGTGCATATGTAATAGTACAATTTACATTTTAGTCATTTAGCAGACGCAGAGCGACTTACAGTAGTGAGTGCATACATTTTGATACTTTTTTCTTCTTCATACTGATCCCCAGTGGGAATCAAACCCACAACCCTGCCGTTGCAAGTGCCATGCTCTACCAACTGAGCTACACGGGACAGTGTGACATGATGAATATGTTCTAATTTTACCATCTGACTAGAACCTAAGATTAAAGGTAAAGTGTGTAATAGATACTGGTTGTGTAAGTGAGGTTACCCTGTAGTCTCCAGTGAGACTTTCGACCTCCACCTCACTGCAGCAGGCACCGTAGGTGTAGTAGGCATACGGCTGGCCCTCCTGCTTCTCCCAGTCCATGTGGAGGTCATGACCCCTACACAAACATCAGCCATTTATGTTGAGATATATCTCTATCTCTATATATATATATATATATATATATATATATATATATATATATATATATATATATATATATATATATATATATATATATATATATATATATATATATATATATATATATATACACACACACACACACAACCGTTCAAAAGTTTGGGGTCACTTAGAAATGTCCTTGTTTTCGAACGAAAAGCAATTTTTTTGTCCATTATAATAACATCAAAATGATCAGAAATACAGCGTAGACATTGTTAATGTTGTAAATGGCTATTGTAGCTGGAAAAGGCTGATTTTTTATAGAATATCTACAGTTGAAGTCGGAAGTTTACATACATTTAAGTTGGAGTCAAAAAAACTTGTTTTTCAACCACTCCACAAATTTCTTGTTAACAAACTATAGTTTTGGCAAGTCGGTTAGGACTGCATTGCCTTGCAAAAGTATTCATCCTCCTTGGTGTTTTTCCTATTTTGTTGCATTACAACCTGTAATTTAAATTGATTTTTATTTGGATTTCATGTAATGGACATACACAAAATAGTCAAAATTGGTGAAGTGAATTGGAAAAAATAACTTATATTTCTAAGAAATAAATAACGGAAAAGTGGTGCGTGCATATGTATTCACCCCCTTTGCTATGAAGTCCCTAAATAAGATCTGATGCAACCAATTACCTTCAGAAGTCACATAATTAGTTAAATAAAGTCCACCTGTGTGCAATCTAAGTGTCACATGATCTCAGTATACAGCTCTGGAATTACTAATTACTATTTATAGGTATGTTGTTCGGGTGAAATTAACATTTTTGTTTTATTCTATAAACTACTGACAACATTTCTCCCAAATTCCAAATAAAAATATTGTCATTTAGAGCAAAAAAGATGCAGTGTTGTTAGACCTCGAATAATGCAAAGAAAATAAGTTAATGTTCATTATTAAACAACACATACTAATGTTTTAACTTAGGAAGAGTTCAGAAATCAATATTTGGTGGAATAACCCTGATTTTCAATCACAGCTATCATGCGTCTTGGCATGCTCTCCACCAGTCTTTCACATTGATGTTGGGTGACTTTATGCCACTCCTGGCACACACATTCAAGCAGCTCGACTTTGTTTGATGGCTTGTGACCATCCATCTTCCTCTTGATCACATTCCAGAAGTTTTCAATGGGGTTCAGGTCTGGAGATTGGGGTGGCCATGACAGGGTCTTGATCTGGTGGTCCTCCATCCACACCTTGATTGACCTGGCTGTGTGGTATGGTGCATTATCCTGCTGGAAAAACCAATCCTCAGAGTTGGGGAACAATGTCAGAGCAAAAGGAAGCAAGTTTTCTTCCAGGACAACCTTGTATGTGGCTTGATTCATGCGTCCTTCACAAAGACAAATCTGCCCGATTCCAGCCTTGCTGAAGCACCCCCAGATCATCACTGTGGCTGTGGCTTGTATGCCTCTCTAGGTCTCTGTCTAACCATTAGACGACCAGGTGTTGTGCAAAGCTGAAAATTGGACTCATCAGAGAAGATGACCTTACTCCAGTCCTCTACGGTCCAATCCTTATGGTCTTTTGCAAACCTCAGCCTGGCTCTTCTTTGCTTCTCATTGATGAAGGTTTTTTTTCTAGCTTTGCATGACTTCAGCCCTGCCCCTAGGAGCCTGTTAGGAACCGTCCTCGCCGTACATGTCACCCCAGCTGCCGTTTGCCATTCTTTTTGTAGGTCACTTGATGTCATCCTACGGTTGTTGAGTGACATTCGAATGAGTTGGCGGTCATCCCGGTCAGTAGAGAGTCGTTTTCGCCCATTTTTTGATTAATATTACTTTTGAGGTACTATTAGCACTGTTTTTGCCATCCAGCTGGTCCTATTGCAAGAGGATAGTGATAACCACAGCAGTGGTTTTTATACTTTTCTCCGTTAAATAAGATTTGGTTCAGGTGATCACCTAATTCAGTAGAATGAGGTGTGCCTGTGTTGGAATTCAACAGACACTGGAATGGAATGGCTGTCATACATGTAGAGATGCTGATTTAAGAAACATTTGCAGTGGTCTCTTAATTTTTTCCAGAGCTGTATATACACCTGTTCTGAAAGGCCCCAGAGTAAACAACACTAAGCAAGGGGCACCACCAAGCAAGCGGTACCATGAAGACCAAGGAGCTCTCCAAACAGGTCAGTGACAAAGTTGTGGAGAAGTACAGATCAGGGTTGGGTTATAAAATAATATCCGAAACTTTGAACATCCCACGGAGCACCATTAAATCCATTATTAACAAATGGAAAGAATATGGCACCACAACAAACCTGCCAAGAGAGGGCTGCCCACCAAAACTCACAGACCAGGCAAGGAGGGCATTAATCAGAGAGTCAACAAAGAGAACAAGGGTAACCCTGAAGGAGCTGCAAAGCTCCACAGCGGAGATTGGAGTATCTGTCCATAGGACCACTTTAAGCAGTACACTCCACAGAGCTGGGCTTTACGGAAGAGTGGCCAGAAAAAAGCCATTGCATAAAGAAAAACAATAAGCAAACACGTTTGGTGTTCGCCAAAAGGCATGTGGGAGACTCCCCAAACATATGGAAGAAGGTACTCTGGTCAGATGAGACTAAATTTGAGCTTTATGGCCATCAAGGAAAACGCTATGTCTGGCGCAAACCCAACACCTCTCATCACCCTGAGAACACTATCCCCACAGTGAAGCATGGTGGTGGCAGCATCATGCTGCGGGGATGTTTTTCATCGGCAGGGACTGGGAAACTGGTCAGAATTTAAGGAATGATGGATGGCGCTAAATACAGGGAAATTCTTGAGGGAAACCTGTTTCAGTCTTCCAGAGATTTGAGACTGGGACAGAGGTTCACCTTCCAGCAGGACAATGACCGTTGCATACTGCTAAAGCAACACTTGAGTGGTTTAAGGGGAAACATTTAAATGTCTTGGAATGGCCTAGTCAAAGCACAGACATCAATCCAATTGAGAATCTGTGGTATGACTTAAAGATTGCTGTACACCAGCGGAAACCATCCAACTTGAAGGAGCTGGAGCAGTTTTGCCTTAAAGAATGGGCAAAAATCCCAGTGGCTAGATGTGCCAAGCTTATAGAGACATACCCCAAGAGACTTGCAGCTGTAATTGCTGCAAAAGGTGTCTCTACAAAGTATTGACTTTGGGGGGGGGGGGGGGGGTGAATAGTTATGCATGCTCAAGTTCTGTTTTTTTTTGTCTTATTTCTTGTTTGTTTCACAAGAAAAAATATTTTGCATCTTCAAAGTGGTAGGCATGTTGTGTAAATCAAATGATACAAACCCCCAAAAAATCTATTTTAATTACAGGTTGTAAGGCAACAAAATAGGAAAAATGCCAAGGGGGGTGAATACTTTTGCAAGCCACTGTACTTTGTGCATGACACAAGTAATTTTTCCAACAATTGTTTACAGACAGATTCTTTCACTTATAATTCACTGTATCACAATTCCAGTGGGTCAGAAGTTTACATACACTAAGTTGACTGTGCCTTTAAACAGCTTGGAAAATTCCAGAAAATGATGTCATGGCTTTAGAAGCTTCTGATAGGTTAATTGACATAATTTGAGTCAATTGGAGGTGTACCTGTGGATGTATTTCAAGACCAACCTTCAAACTCAGTGCCTCTTTGCTTGACATCATGGGACAATCAAAAGGAAATAGGCCAAAAAGAAAATTGTAGACCTCCAGTCTGGTTCATCCTTGGGAGCAATTTCCAAACGCCTGAAGGTACCACGTTCATCTGTACAAGCAATAGTACGCAAGTATAAACACAATGGGACCACGCAGCCGTCATACCGCTCAGGAAGGAGATGCATTCTGTCTCCTAGAGATTAACGTACTTTGGTGCGAAAAGTGCAAATCAATCCCAGAACAACAAAGGACCATGTGAAGATGCTGGAGGAAACAGGTACAAAAGTATCTATATCCACAGTAAAACGAGCCCTATATTGACATAACCTGAAAGGCCGCTCAGCAAGGAAGAAGCCACTGCTCCAAAACCGCCATAAAAAAGCCAGACTACGGTTTGCAACTGCACATGGGGACAACGATCGTACTTTTTGGAGAAATGTCCTCTGGTCTGATGAAACAAAAATAGAACTGTTTGGCCATAATGACCATCGTTATGTTTGGAGGGAAAAAGGGGGTCGCTTGCAAGCCGAAGAACACCATCCCAACCGTGAAGCACGGTGGTGGCAGCATCATGCTGTGGGGGTGCTTTGCTGCAGGAGAGACTGGTGCACTTCACAAAATAGATGGAAGGAAAATTATTTGGATATATTGAAGCAACATCTCAAGACATCAGTCAGGAAGTTAAAGCTTGGTCGCAAATGGGTCTTCCAAATGGACAATGACCCCAAGCATACTTCCAAAGTTGTGGCAAAATGGTTTAAGGACAACAAAGTCAAGGAATTGAAGTGGCCATCACAAAGCCCTGACCTCAATCCTATTGAACATTTGTGGCCAGAACTTAAAAAGTGTGTGCGAGCAAGGAGGCCCAACTTATTGTGGGAAGCTTGTGGAAGGCTACCTGAAACGTTTGACCCAAGTTAAACAATTTAAAGGCAATGCTACCAAATAATAATTGAGTGTATGTAAACTTCTGACCCACTGGGAATGTGATGAAAGAAATAAAAGCTGAAATAAATCACTCTCTACTATTATTCTGACATTTCACATTCTTAAAATAAAGTGGTGATCCTAACTGACCTAAGACAGGGAATTTTTACTAGGATTAAACGTCAGGAATTGTGAAAAACTTAGTTTAAACGTATTTGGCTAAGGTGTATGTAAACTTCCGCCTTCAACTGTACATACGCGTACAGAGGCCCATTATCAGCAACCATCAGTCCTGTGTTCCAATGGCACGTTGTGTTTGCTAATCCAAGTTGATCATTTTAAAAAGGCTAATTGATCATTAGAAAACCCTTTTGCAATTATGTTAACACAGCTGAAAACTGTTGTGCTGATTAAAGAAGCAATAAAACCTCGAGACTAGTTGAGTATTTGGAGCATCATCAATTGTGAATTCGATTACATGCTCAAAATGGCCAGAAACGAATAACTTTCTTCTGAAACTCGTCAGTCTATTCTTGTTCTGAGAAATGAAGGGTATTCTATGCGAGAAATTGCAAAGAAACTGAAGATCTCGTACAACGCTGTGTACTACTCCCTTCACAAAACAGCGCCAACTGGCTCCAACCAGAATAGAAAGAGGAGTGGGAGGCCCTGGTGAACAACTGAGCAAGAGGACAAATACATCACAACAGTTTTCAGCGGTGCTAACATAATTGCAAAAGGGTTTTCTAATGATCAATTAGCCTTGTAAAATGATAAAACACAACGTGGAACACAGGACTGATGGTTGCTGATAATGGGCCTCTGTACGCCTATGTAGATATTCCATTTTAAAAAATCAGCCGTTTCCAGCTACAATAGCCATTTACAACATTAACAATGTCTACACTGTATTTCTGATCAATTTGATGTTATTTCTAATCGACCAAAAAAATTGCCTTTCTTTCGAAAACAAGGACATTTCTAAGTGACCCCAAACTTTTGAACGGCAGTGTACATACATACACACAGCTATCTACTGTAAATATATACAAAAATATTTAATGTATAATTGTATCTTTCCACATTGGGTAACTGTAGCAATATTTTACACATAGGCCTACAGTCCTAAAAGTCAATTGTTTTGTATCTGCAATAGTGAAATAAAATACAATATGTAAGGTGTAAAGCTTCTATAAACTCATATGTGTTTGGTCTGCATTGAAATCTAGGCTGAATCTCATTACCTGTAGTATCCAGTAGATGACAGACTGATCTTTTGGAAGAACGCTGAGTTCACCTATTTTCCACAACACAAACACCAGAAATAGGGGATTTAGGACCATGCCGATATTCATGAACTCACTTAAATCCCTCTGTCCTACTTAAAATCATTTTGTCATGGGAAGTGGACATCAATATGAAATACCCAGGTCTGCCATGTGCCTCCTGGGTTCTGTTTCCTGACAGGTTCCAGTCTTTGGTACAGGGTCTCACAGGCATCCTAAGGGACAAGAAAAAGAAACGCACAACAGACCGGTTGAACATGACTGATCAATTGGTTGAATATCCATACTAACAGGCCAACAGGAAAATATCCACATCAGGTGTTGCAGCACCAACTAATCTGGGATTGCAGCACCAACTGATCTGGGATCAGGCTAGCTGGGGAGATCCCAGGCAATACTGTACCTTCACGGCCATGCCGTTGGCGTCCGTGCCAAAGGAGGCGGCTGAGGGGCAGGTGTTGGGCACAGCACTGGTGTTGGTTTCTGTGATGTGGATGAGAGAGGCGGGGATGTGCAGCTCTCTACTCGCCACCTGGAGATATTGATTGATGAATTGATTGAATGTAAAAAGTACATACAGCCAAGTACAAGCAGTACACATTTACAGAATAGTTACATAGTTAGTAGAGAATGTGTACTACAATCATTATTTCACTCAAACTAGTCAAGCTAAGGGAGAAAGTACTGTACCTACCTGTTGCATTTTAGTGTGTATTCCCTGGCCCAGTTCTGTCCCACCATGACTGACTAGAACAGAACCATCCTTGTAGATGTGTACCAGAGATGCAGCCTGTCTCACACACACAGACAATATCAAACCTTTATTTTATTGATTCATTATGTATAATTTTATTGACTGATTTGACAGTGCAAGGCAAAGCTAACCTGGTTAAGGAAGCCGTCTGAGAATGCGATGCCATACTTAATGGGTATCGTGGCCATGCCTCTCTTCTTCCAGCGGTTCTGCTGGTTAAACTGGCCGATGGATTTGCGTCTGCTGCCGTAGTCAGACTTCTCCTTGCATTCGTCCCAGCAACGCAGGAGGTTCTTAGGATCAAACTCAAACTTGTAATGTGTCAGGGACACCTCCTTGTACATGTTTATCTCACGAATCTGCTCAAGAAAGAGAAAATATTAAATGAGAACTGTGTTATAAAGTGTATACAGTACTTTATATATGACATCTATAAAGTATTTATAGCATATTGACTTTATTGCATATTGGTATTTATAGCATATTCAGCTAGTCATCCATCTTAATGATCTCCGACGTCATCAGTTTTTGAACAGACAGTCTGTCATGAGACTACCCACTTTTGAGATATTTCTCTGTTTATCTAAATTATATTTTCCTCAATATAAGGCTCTGGTACCACCCATTCTATTATCATAGAAATATAATTAGCTAGATTATATTTATACGGCATTCCTCCCTGTTCCCCTTACCCTCCCTGACCCCTAACACTTGACCCCTGACCTCTTCAGCATTGCGGCCCAACTTCATGGCCACGTCGTTGATCATGTTCTCTGTGACCAGCATGCTCTGGGGCACGCCGAAGCCTCGGAATGCCGTGTTGGATGGCAGGTTGGTTTTACACGCCACCGAGCGACCTCGCAGGTTGGCAACGTTGTACGCATTGTCCAGGTGAAGGAGAATCTTCTCTATTACCTGGACAAAGGGAGGGGGCAAAGAGCTCAGACACTGTCTATGACAAGCATAGAGACTGAGTCTGGTATTAGGTTTCAAGGATGACTTGGGGTTAAGAATTGAATGGTGAAAGGCAGAGGAAGAGTGACTCACCAACAAAGATTCATCTGCAGTGTTTCCGGAGTTGGCGTAATAATGTAGATCAGCAGCCATTATCCTCCCATCGTTCATAAAGCCAACCTGGAGACATTAACACATTATCAGTCAAATCTACAGTAGCACTTAAGAGAGACCTCAAAGGCACCGACAGTCAGTCACATCACAAAGCCTTGAGAGGGGTAGCACCTTGTGTTTGCCCAGGACAGGGTGGCGGGCCCCAGTGATCAGCATGTCCTCTCCTCTCTCCAGAACACAGCGCACGGCCCGACCAGTCCTGGGTAGAGACATCAGAACAGGCCGGGATTCAAACAAACACATAAATGATGTTTCGGATTCATAGAGTACCATTGCATTTGGGTTAAATATGTAATGTATTATTGGATCAAGTCTGTTCTTTTTGAAGTATTTCACTTACTTCCATGCAGCCACAGAAGTGATGCAGGCTATGATAGACGTTTTGGTCACTTTCCCTCCAAATGCTCCGCCAACTCTCTTCACATGACAGGACACTCTGTTGGAGGGAATCCCAAGAGTCTCTGCGATGGATTCCTACAGAAAAGACAGACTGTCAAATGAAATGTTTCCTATTAGGAGTAATGCCTTACACTTCGCCTTACACTTTATATTTTCTTATCCTCAGGGATGGAGATTGAGGGGGTAGAGTTGACTGTACCTGGGCATAGGTTGGGTGTTGACAGGAGAGATAAACCTTGAGCTCCCTCTCCTCTCCAGAAGGCACAACAACCATGCTCTGTGTTTCCATGTAGAAATGCTCCTGACCACCGAGCCGGATCTCCCCTGAGATTAAAGACCACAACATGACCACAACGAGACCACAATACGGTTCAGTACATAGACTAAACTGGTACAAACAACACTCAAGATAGGAACCAGGTTGACACACCTAGTATGCATACGAAACTAAGACATACTGTACCTTCATAAATGTGGTCAACCTTATCAAAAGCCTCATCCACATTGCCTCGCTCGATCATCCTCTGGGGCAGAAAGAAGGACTGTTTCTCAATAGCCTCCTCAACAGTGAACACTGGGTCTGGCAGATCCTCATAGCCGATCTTCACTACAGCCGCCCCTCTCTTAGCCTGCTTCCTGGTGTCAGCCACCACTGCACACACCATGTGACCCACGCATGACACCTGAGGAACAGAGACGTACATAAACCTGGCAATAACGTTTGTGAACATAGTATTAACTAACAATCATGCATCTGTGTGAGAATGGCCTTCATACAGTACATCATACACTACATGACCAAACGTATGTGGACACCTGCTGGACGACCATCTCATTCCAAAATCATGGGCATTAATATGGAGTTGGTCCCCCCTTTGCTGCTATAACAGCCTCCACTCTTCTGGGAAGGCTTTCCACTAGATGTTGGAACATTGCTGCGGGGACTTACTTCCATTCAGCCACAAGAGCATTAGTGAGGTCGGGCACTGATGTTGGGCGATTAGGCCTGGATCGCAGTCGGCGTTCCAATTCATCCAAAAGGTGTTCGATGGGGTTGAGGTCAGGGCTCTGTGCAGGCCAGTAAAGTTCTTCCACACCGATCTAGACAAACCATTTCCGTGTGGACCTCACTTTGTGCACGGGGGCATTGCCATGATGAAACAGGAACTTCCCCAAACTGTTGCCACAATGTTGGAAGCATAGAATCGTCTAGAATGTAATTGTATGCTGTAGCGTTAAGATTTCCCTTCACTGGAACCAAGAGGCCTAGCCCGAACCATGAAAAATGGCCCCAAACCATTATTCCTCCTCCACCAAACATTACAGTTGGCACTATGCATTCGGTCAAGTAGCGTTCTCCTGGTATCCACCAAACCCAGATTCGTCCGTCGGACTGCCAGATTGTGAAGTGTGATTCATCACTCCAGAGAACGTGCTTCTACTGCTCCAGAGTCCAATGGCAGCGAGCTTTACATCTCTCCAGCCGACGCTTGGCATTGCGCATGGTGATCTTAGGCTTGTGTGTGGCTGCTCGGCCATGGAAACCCATTTCATTAAGCTCCCGCCGACGTTGCTTCCAGAGGCAGTTTGGAACTCGGTAGTGAGTGTTGCAACCGAGGACAGACGATTTTTACGCAATACGCGCTTTAGCACTCGGCAGTCCCCTGTGAGCTTGTGTGGCCTAACACTTCGCGGCTGAGCCATTGTTGCTCCTAGACATTTCCACTTCACAATAACAGCACTTACAGTTGACTGGGGAAGCTCTAGAAGGGCAGAAATGTGAAGAACTGACTTGTTGGAAAGGTGGCATCCTATGACGGTGCCACATTGAAAGTCACTGAGCTCTTCAGTAAGGCCATTCTACTGCCAATGTTTGTCTATGGAGATTGCATGGTTGTGTGCTCGATTTTACAAACCTGTCAGCAACGGGTGTGGCTGAAATAGCCGAATCCACTAATTTGAAGGGGTTAGTATATACACAGTTTTGTATATACACAGTATAGTGTGCATGGTGAGGTGAATAAACAGCATGGCTACTCATATACTGTATGAAAACAACAACACATATGATATGACACGTGTGATTCTGGTTGTGTCTCTTTGATGAAGCACTACAGTACCTCATTCTGAGCCAGAATGTCCTCGTCTATGCCTGTAAACGTCCTGAACTTCTTCCCTGGGATGTCTTTAGAAGTGATGACATCCACCACACCTGGAATCTGAAGAGCTTCACTGATATCTATGTCTCTGTTAGGAGGGGTAAAATACAGTTAGTAGAGAGACAGTCATTCACATACTTACCAATACTAGCTCTCATTTCATACGGGTTAGGATTATACATGGCGCTGAGTTTATATTCATTCGGTCTCATTTACAGTGAATGACGTTCAGATAAGGATCTATGGTGCTGTATACCCATTTAACAATGAGGATAACAACCTATTGAGGCCCACATGTGGTCAATTACAATATAGCACTAAACCCACCATGCTGGTTTACAATAGCCAGTCTCTCTACACTGGTGTGTCTATGAAGCCCACTTCCTGTCCAATGAATAGTGAATGTGTGAGTAAGGTCTATACTTTGTGTTCTATACAACCTGGATAAGACCCCTGTTATTACTGTTGGCTGTGGATAGAGGGTTCTATTGGATTTTTATAATTCAATATTTATTAGGGATGTTGATTCAGCACAGTGCAGCAAAATGAACATCTTACGATTCCTCATTAAATGAGAGGTAGTATTGGTGATTATCTGAATGATTGGGACTCTGCTCACTGTATGGTCTACACCAGGGGTGTACAACAGGCCTGCAAGTGATTATTTTTGCCCCCCCAACGTTTTTAGGAAAATAAATTTGATTTTAAATTTAGGAAATCTGTTCAAGTATTCCCACAAATAAAAAGAGACATATGTGATCGAGTCTCAATGTAATCAAGGTATGAAATCTCTTATTTGGCTTTGCATAGTTATAATTACACCCCCCCCCCCGTGCTACACAGTGGGCTCTATTTTCAGCTGGCATTAAGCCAGCGCAATTGTCAAACACTCGCTCGTTTGCAATTTCAACCCGTTAAAGCCGGTGCTCTTCTATTTTCAAACACTGAGCTCGCTTGTGCTGAGGTGGGAGGGGTGGCTATATCTGAGCTGTGTCCTTAAAAAACATGTGACAAAGTGCCAATTTCAGTATGTGCTGGTGGGGATATTTAAGACCAACCAAAAGCTGGTCTTAGTGGTAACGGTTGGTTATGGCATGTATTTTGACAACGGAAGCGTAGCCTATCCAGCCGTGACACACAGTGCTCATATGCACATGGAACAAGAGAGACGTGTTATTTTGTGCCCATAAACCCCATATTTAGAAACAAATAAATAAACCCCATGTATAGCCTCTCAATAAAGGCTGGGTTTTTTTGTCCTGCCCAATCCATTCGCAAAGTAGTCAAGACTATAGGAAAGGGTTTGGCTTGTAAGACCGCTATTGACCCGTGCGTAAATCTAAGTGACATAATAAAAAGAAAAACAAATCTCCATCAAAATCCATCAGTTTAAGCGACAGATATTCTTTCCATGGGCTGCGTCTCAATCCACCGCGTCGGCCTTCCTCAGCTGCAGTGGAAGGTGGCCGAGCTACAGCGGTGTTTGTCAGACCATGAGACATCCCGAAAATTGGTCTTCTCACGAACACGTCTGACCTACAAACTAAGCTATGGAAAGATGAGACTCTCTCACGAACACAATGGTTACAAGTGTCACAGGACTCGTCTGAAGGTAACCTGGTACCCTTTAAAACATTTACGGAAGTATGGAGGTAGTTTCTTATATCTCCTAGATATAGGACAGACACTTCAAAACATTATTCCTTATGATTACATTTTTGACTGTCTGTTTTGCCATTTTTTTATGTGTTATTCAATGTGTTTCTATGGGCTATAGTAGTAAAGGCCAAATTCAATATATTTTATCAAATCATTTTATATATTTTTTGGGATACCTACAGGGGTCCTAAAATTCAAAATGATCCATGGTATGACCATCTTAAAACAATCAATATTGTTTTAAGGATTATATATATATATATTTTTTTTTTAAAGCTTTATTAGAAGATCAAGTTTGGGAGCAGCAAAACAGTAAGTGGAAATCCCTTTTTTGTATTAATTTTTTATCTATGTAGGCTTTGTACATTATTCTAGCCAGCTCCTTTTATTATTTTGGATGGGCAACTTTGATTGGGGTGGGGGCCACAAAAAAACAGAACTCATCATGTGGGGCCGCAGTGGCTCGTGGGTCTGCGTACCCACATCTTTAGCAGCCCCCCTCGTGACAGCGAAGGGAAACATTTTAAGTTTTAAAGTTAATTTCCTGCAATTCTGCACATTTTGCCATGGGGCATAGAGACAATGATGCTGTTTTAAAGCAAGTTTGCTACAATACTACACATTTTGCCATGGGGCAAAGAGAATATTTAGTCATTTTATAACTAATTTCATGCAATTCTACTAATTTTCCATAGGGCGGAGGCAAATGTTTGAAGTTTTTAATATGATAACTGATGATCAATGAGCCCCACCCCGGTCGGTAATTCAACCATGCTTACTACAAGTTTAGATAGATTAGTAAATTAGTCTAGAGGCTAGCTAAGAAAAATTAACTGACATGGCCTAATTGTGTGACTGCTTATGCACAACAAACTTTATGCACCTTGTATATTCTATTGTTCTTACTCTCAACAGTAAGTGGAGACCCCGACTGAGTTCCTAAAAAAAAAACACAACATTTTGGGGGGGGGGGTTAATTTTGGGGAGGGGGGGAATTGGTCTGTTGGCCTACAAAAGGGGGACCTCAGTTGCCCATCCCTGATGTAGGCTATATGCCCATCGTGGAATGAGAGATGAGCTACTACCTGGCCTGATGACTCCTTGCTGTCCCCAGTCCACCTGTTTGTGCTGCTGCTCCTGTTTCATCTCTCCTGCCTGCGGCTATGGAACCCTGACCTGTTCACCGGACGTGCTACCTTGTCCCAGACCTGCTGTTTTCAACTCTCTCTACCGCACCTTCTACCCCCTCTAAATGCCCGGCTATGAAAAGCCAAGTGACATTTACTCCTGATGTACTGACCTGTTGCAACCTCTACAACCACTGTGATTATTATTTGACCCTGCTTGTCATCTATGAACGTTTGAACATCTTGGAGAAAAATCTGGCCTTAATGGCCATGTACTGTTATAATCTCCACCCAGCACAGCCAGAAGGGGACTGGCCACCCCTCAGAGCCTGGTTCCTCTCCAGGTTTCTGCCTTTCTAGGGAGTTTTTCCAAGCCACCGTGCTTCTACATCTGCATTGCTTGCTGTTTGGGGTTTTAGGCTGGGTTTCTGTATAGCACTTTGTGACATCTGCTTTATAAATTAATTTGATTGATTGATACTTTGGTGACACTCGTATTTAGAAACATTTAAGTTATTTTCCTGTAACAATTGCTTGTTTTCCATTTCATTTTATTAAAAAACAAGTCCTTAGTAGGCTACCCTTACCTTACTATAACGAAAGCTGGTTCAACAGCAATTCGTCTGGTGTCTTTCCTATGCTGGCCATGCATTAGCCAAGTAGCCTATCCATAAAATATTTCTAAATGGTCTACTCATGAGGCTTTTGCTGATATGGTTTTGCATTATTCACAATTTAAATAGCTTCCCTGCAGTGCATACTCCAATCGGCTTGTATCCATCCCCATTTCCAAAGAGCGCCTCTTGCCCAGTTACCAAAGAAGCACCTTTTCCAAACAAATAAAAATAATTCAGTCCTATAACGCCATATCAATGGTAGGCCTAGGCTATATCTTCATTATTGAGAACGTGCCTCACACATACAATACCATTTACGGGAGCCTAGTATTTTTTGAGGAGTAGTGTGTGTGTAAAGGCTTAAACTCGTTGAAGCCAATTACCACAGTGTTGACTGTCAACAGTCCAAACATATTGATCAAACACTGGATGTTTTTTTTTTGTTTTTTTTTACTGTTGCTATCACTCATTACTGTAGCCTATGCTATTTAAAAAACTGTAGTATCAATTCACAATGGACCAGGACGAGAATATTCCATTCCTCCAGCAGAATTGGAATTGATGATAACGCACAGACTGGCAATAACCTACAGAACTTGAGCCAAACGCATGCAGTATTAAGCCATGGAACGCCTTGATTGGCCAGTGAGTTGCCAAGTCCTCGTCACACCTACACCTTCATCGCGCCACCGCCAACTATTGTGCTCATAATTCTGGCTGTGAAAATAGCACAAATATTTCTGACACACCCCCTGACCTATAACGCTACCGCCAGTGCTCAGACGTACCATTGCTTTAGGTTTGTTAAAATAGAGCCCAGTATGTTACCAACTAAAAAAGTGGTTTGTGAGGATACATATCCATGAATCCTTTCCAATGTTCCCCAGGACTTACAGGATCTTAGCGTGCGGTCTGGTGCTGGTGACCAGGACTAGGTGGAGCTCTCCGTCCGTCTTGGGGATGTCATCACAGTAAACAGCCTCTCCAGTAGCTTGGCTGATGGCTGAACGGTGCATGATAGGCCGACCTACTGGGTCCTCACCACTCTGGTCCTTCACCACAGACTGAAACACACACACACACCACACACACACACACATCTTCATGACAGCCTGAAATGTAACCATGTTTGTTTCCAGACCAATCAATCCAACTTTATTGACCCCAGAGGAAATGTTGGTTTGTAGGCAGGGGTAATCTCTCCTGGACAGACTACATGAATTGACCAAATTATGTGAGATTCAGGCAGGGGTAACATGATAAAACCATGATTGTTAATAAGAATTTTCTCTTAAAGGAGAAGTTTGCAAATCAAAATTGTCGATATAAATGGAATGTTATAGAAGGGTCCAGACATTTTTACTTTTTACTTACCCCAACCAGCGATTCACTTCCTCATCCTCATTGTGCAGTATGGGGGCTCTGAAAAAACATTAACAAATGCTCCAAAAACAACCAAATACGTCCTTTTAGAAATGGAAACAGTCTCAGTATAATGATGCAGGTCTTTAGATGTTGTACACATGAAATGGTGTCATTCTGAACTTCATCCACAACTTTATATTCCATTTTGTGCAACTCAAACCGTTTCCCTTATCCAGCTGTTCCATTCTCCATGTAGCCTGCTGCTAGAACGGACGGAGAGGTATTGCTCGAGTCACAACAAAATGAAATATAACATTGCGGATAAAGTTCAGAATGACACAATTTCACGTGTACAACATGTAAAGACCTGCATCACTATACTGAGCGCTTTTACGTTTCTAAAAGAACGACTTGGGTGTTTTTGGAGCATTTGTACATGCTTTGTCAGAGCACACGTACTGCACAATGAGGATGAGGAATAAAAATCACTGGTTGGGGTAGGTGAAATCGCAAAAGTCTTCTTTAACCGACTTCTCTGGTAAATGTTTTAAATAAAATAAACAGACCTGGAACTCTTGTAGGCTGGGCTCTAGCTGTTTAGGTAGGGGACGTATTCCACTTCTGATCTCTTCTGATAGGTCCTCCTTGATCACATTCTGTACAATGCCAATACAGTGACAAAAACATACCTATATTTATAAATCTATATTTAGAGAAACATTTAGCAAATCCAAGTTCCAAATTTCAAGTTTGCCAAGTAGGCTACCAAACTGAATTTATCCAGATCATTATTATCATCATTGGGGAAAGAGTGACCCAGTCCATACCATCTCCCAGAGCTTGTGCAGCATCTGCAGATTGAACTTGAAGAGGAGGCTGAGAGTTAGGGACCTGCGGAACTCCACCTGTCCCCCGGGGTGGGAGGGAGACAGGGATATCTCATCTAAGAGCTGGGTGTAGGCTTCACTCAGCGTCTGCTCATCCCACTTCCTGGAGGGGGGTGTGTGTGTGTGTTTGGACGTGGGGGGTATAAAACAGGCAAGGATGTAACACACAGATAATGTAACACAACGAGAACATTACTGAGGAGGGTAACAAGGAACCGTATGAATTACAAACAAGTTTAGCTAGCTCTCCTCAAAAGAAAACAATAGCCTATTATCCAAATCCTCCTAGCTGTGTGAAAAATTCCCTCTGTACCTTCCGATGACTGCAGCACATGTTTTGGTGGCGCTTACAGTGCACGGCCCTACACCGCCGTAGTAGATACTAAGCTCCTTGACCACGCTGGAACCCTCTGTGAACATGACCCTCATCCCAGTGGTCACTGTGGCCAGGGCGTTCTCCTTACGAGGGGCCTGGCGGAAAGCTCGCATAAACTCTCCCTGCAGAGACACATTAGATTGGGAAAACTTGATTGCTCACGCAGTAACAGGATTGAACTCACCACGAGGCCAGGAGTTCTTCCTGGTGAGGTCAAATGCATTCTCAAGAGGTTCTCCATTCCCAAGTGGCTTCTTACTGTACCTGTCTAGATACTGGTATGAACACAGACAGGACTATCTCATCTGGTTTTAGAGATGTTTTTCCAAACCCCACAAAGAAATCTTTATTCAGCTGGATTTCTTGTCTTCCCCCTGGTATAGGACCAATTAACACAATGACTTGTAATACTTCAATACAAACATGGTTATATTTAACACAGAATAATTTAAATGAATGAAAATGGTAACTACTGACAACTCACTCTTTGACACCACATTAAGTGTGCAGTTCCCAGCAGCGAACACAGGGTTCAGGTCTGAATTTGGATATGCGCTGACAATATTGCCTCCTATGGACTAACACACACAGAAACACGCCATAAATATGTTTAACAGTCAAACAAATGCAAAAACACATGTTTACCAGTGATCCCCTCAGGGTAGTTAAGACATAGAGATTTGGACAGTAATGTGCAGCACAGCTGTTAGCCTGGTTCCAGACCTGTTAGTGCTATATAGCCAACAATGACCAAAGGAGCTGGCAAGACCGGACAAACAGATCTGGGACCAGGCTACAAAGTTGTTAGGGAATGACAGAAAACAGATGATTCATACTCACGGCCACGTTGCGGATCTGCTGTCCTCCCAGGTTCCCCAGCTGCTGTAAGAGGGATCTGTATATCTCCGTCTTCTCCTCAGGCAGCTCCTGTACCAGCCCCTCCAACAGGGCCTTAACCACAGACAGACTGCAGCCAGCCCCGATACACACACCTACACACACACACACCAGACAACATCAACAGACAGAACAGACACACATGAACAGTTCTAAGAAAGAGAGATAGAGAGCACTAACCCTGAGGAGTCTTGGTAACGTCAAACAGCTCCTGGACTCTGGTGGGTGATATTATTATGGGATGCTGGGCACCTTTGAACTTGATGTCTGGGCCGATGTTGGTGTTACCCATGACCAGCGGGGCCCGAGGGTGGCTGGTCTTCAGCTGGATCAGTTCCTCCAGAGACACAGGGGAGACCCACACCATCCTGTCTCCACGGAACAGCTGACTAACCTGGGGCTCTGTCTCTGCCATCAGCTGAGTGGAGAATAGTGGAGGATGGTCAGGATATAGATATCGCTAGGTTATAGACTAATGAGGATATAGACCGTTTTAACAACATTACAGACTATAAGACCTAAGCTTGTTTAAAGCAAAATAACAGTATTTTGCCGATTTGGTGTCAATTAATAATTTTGTCTTGTGTAAAGGTTGTTATTTCAGTGATTTTAGACTGAAGAATGGTACTTTTTGACTGTTACACAGGGACATACAGTACGTGATGAGAGCATATCACACTGTAATTCCCTATTTGACCACTAGTCCAGCTGTCTTACTATGAGTTCTGGGGGGAAGATGAGATCTTGGGTGGGGTCCAGAGGGAGGAGGTCCTCCTGGTCAAACAGCTGTGGTGGAAGCTCCTGGAAGACACAGTCAATCTCTTTTTATAAAACAAGTGTGTTGAATCGGAATAAATGCAGCAATGTCATGGTATTGTGAACTTTCCAATATCATTAGTGAGGTGGTAAAACAATACCATGATTGTAAATTATATTATACAGTTAAGCCATACAAATTTAATTTCATGTTTAAAGGGGCAGTTGAAAGAGTAACAAAGAGGCCTCCCCTGTTTCTGTAAAAAGGGATGGGGCTAGAGAAACACTCTCAAATGCATAGACAGAGCAATGCATGCAATGACTGACCATCCATGATATGAAAATTATAGTTTTAATCCATGTTTTGAGGCAATATAGTGTTTCTTTACATTACTTTGTTTACAAACGTTAGAGTAAAACAAGCTTATATTTTGGGTTCTGATGTGGTACGACCGTTGAATTAAACCCATGAGTCATTTATAAGTTATATTTTTCAAGAATTAATGGGTACATATCATTCATTTACAAGTCCAAAAATTGATGTAGCAACTGCATATTTCACGATTTAGAGCAAAGATAAATGTCCTCAAGCTTCCAGTAAAGAGATAAAATACTTCCTCTCTGGCTATGGCTTAACCATGCCTCTTTTAGCCTTCCCAAGTCAGGCAAAAATCTATTGATTAGGTCACTAGGTGTTGAACTAAGGTTAATATAGTATTTTAACAAGAGGGTCTACTTTTTTTTAATGCATTTTTTATTTTTTAATATTCGCTCAGTCGCCTCACTTTTCAAAAAAGGAAAACTGTTAAACATTTAATAAAATGTGTATGGACTTATGAATAGAAAGAGTCACTCACATTCTCTGATCTCTCTGGAGGCGAATCTCCATTCAGACAACATCCAGCACCATTACCAGTGGCTTGACAACAGTTTGATTCCTAAAGATGGATTACAAGGATGGATTATACATTCACTTTACAGACAGTAAATACAATGCAATGCATGTGTCTGTTATGTGCAATAAATATTATGTATACCTGACTAAAAGTTTTGCAGCCATCAACAATGGGACGATATCCTGTGCACCGGCACAAATTGCCTCCAAGTGCCTCTGTGATGTCCTCCATGTTGGGCTGTGGTTTGTTCCTCAGTAAAGTGTACATGGACATCACCATGCCTGGAGTACAGAACCCACACTGAGACCCATGGGCCTTGGCTATACGCTCCTGCAAGCACACACAAGCATATAATCCAGTCAGCCACACTGAATGGAGAGGTTCATCAATCCGTCAGTCCATCCACCCATCGTAGGGCCTACCTGTACTGGGTGCACCCTGGTCTTGGTGTTGCCAATGCCCTCCACAGTGGTGACGGCTGCCCCCTGAAGCTGGCAGACTGGCAGCAGGCAGGCGTTGGCAGAGTAATGGCTAGTAGGTGAAGGTAAACTGGCCTAAGTGGCATTAACTTTTCAATATCAACATAACAATATCCTCCAAGTATAATAGAGAACATCATAAGTAAGCCTTTGAAGACACTGGAAGATAAATGTTGGATTTGTCCATGCATCAGTTTTTTCATGCAATTTGTGTCCAAAGAGCACCTGCTGTCACACCTACAGACCCACTATACGCTTCATACAAAAAAACACATTTTGCCTATCTCTACAGGAAAGGCCTACTTAAAAGTTACTATCTCAGTATGACAATATAGTATTCATCAACAGTATAACATTCATAAAATCTGTCAATAATTTATCAAAATCCTGGATGTTTGTTGAGGGCTGAAAGGATACAGGATGGTCTTGGTGCTGGGCTGGTAGCGAGACACCATGACAGTACAGGCTCCACATCCTCCTCCTCCACATCCATACTTGGTCCCAGTCAACCTCACTGGAGTCAGGCATGTCAAGGAATATAATAGTATATGCCACTTAGCAGACATTTTATTATCCAAATGGATTTAAAGTACATTTTTAGTATGTGTATGTGATCAATGCAGAAATTCAACCCACAACGTTACCAACTGAGCCACACAGGAGACACTGTTTGGGCTAGACGATCTATCAGTATCCATCTTTCCACAAACCATAACATTAAATGATTTCAACTGAGATCGTATACAGACAATCCTAATCATATGAAAGTGGAAACTGTCGTAGTAAATATAAAATGTTATAGATTGATCTGAGTAATATGTTGTGCAAGAGGTTGTGCAAGACAAATTGTGTTAGGAGCTTGTTTTCAATAAAATGTTCTGTGTCATGTGTCTGATACTAACAGTGTGTTAGTTGTCTGTGCATAACATTTTAGTAGCGAACAAAGAACAGAGCACCAGATGGCCTAATCTTACAGGAGTATGATAACTGGACAACACCCACACCTCAGGCCCAAGGCCCCCACCAGTTGCTTCTCACGAGTTTCCTTTGACACACACAGACATCTCACTGTGGACGCACACTCATTCTCAAACCCCCCCCCCCCCTTCTACTGGTCGGGTGCCAAGGGCAGAGGACTCTGCCGTGCACCAATGGGGCTTCTACTCTGGACAGAGCAGACCCGCCTCCTACGCCTCGGGAACCAATCAAGGGACTAGAAGAAGGACCCCTTCCTTTATGTTACATTGTATAAAGTAATGCTGTAAACTCTGTTTAAACATCCTTCTCAGCTGACACTAATAGAGTGCTATATGATTAGGTCCATGCATGTTAATTAGCAGGATCCCATGCATGTTAACTAACAGTACAAGATATCTCTGTGTTTAATAAACTGCCTTTTGCTTAAGCAAATTCCTCTCTGTCTAGCGTCGTTGGTTTGTACTCCCTCTCCTAATTATGTGTTCACCAACAAAACTCACAGTGACACGCGCAATGGAACTATATCTGATAAGCTACTGTACTTATAGGCCTTAACAAGACTTTCACACCTTGAACTCTGGACTGGCTTGGTGGGTAAACAAAAAACACTTATAAAATCAGTGCATCACCTTAGGCTACCCATAAAGTATGAATTTATATAAGCTACTCATTGTGCAATCAGTTGTCTATAGGCTACACAACTTCTGTCCGTTTTTCTTTAAGATAAATATTAATAAGAATATAATCATTTAAATATATTTTTTCAGCAAGGAAAGGATACATCTCTCTCTGAGGTAAGACAGTAACATAGTCTCTGGGTCTGCATTGTTTTCGGTCACCTGTTTGAAAGAAAGAGGGAAATCTTGTAAAGCACACCGCTACTCACTTGAGTTTTTCGGGTGATTCTTGGAGAGCAGGCCTGAAGCCTACAGCCAGTATCTTTGGTACAAACAAAGACGACGGAAGTAATCATTGGACAACAACAACATTAGCAGCCATGCAGACAGTTTTGTAGAGGAACCGTATGTAGTAGGCTAAAATTAGTGAATGTGCATAGTGCTACAACTTAAACCAACGTACAGCTAATGCACAAAACTTAAGACAGTAAATGATTTACCTTTTTACCGTTGACATAGAAACACAAGCAGTCGGTTTCTTTCTTCTCACTCATTTTCCTCTCATTTGCGAATTGAAGTCCAGTGTTGACTGTTTCTGCGACTACTCCATAAATCACCCAGTGACCTCACACGCTTCCTTGACGAAAGCAAATCCAGCCGCTTTCCTGACGTTTTGAAGCACTTTTCACCTAATGGTTGATATACAACAGACCCCTAAACCAGTTGATAATTACTGATTTTAAATCGATATGATAGGACAGAGTACATTTGGGGTGCATAGTCTACTGTAACTCGACTCCACCTCCCAATGTTAATGTTGTGAAACAACTGTTACAAAGTTGAACCCTCTTAATTCAATCAACACTAACAGTGCCGATACAGGATTAATACATTTCAATGCATGACAACATCTTGGTATCGTATCATGCCCTAAATGTTCAAAGAACCTATTAAAAGTTTTTTTCCTTCGCATAATTTTGACCAAAGAGTGAAACTATGCACTTCTAACCAGAGGGTGTCACTACAACCTAACAAACCTAAATCCTCTCAACAAAATAGTACCCTACATCATTGCTAATCACTTGTTAGGCTACCACATTGATTGACATAGAAAGCTGACATTTATAATATACAACAAATCAAGAAAAATTGCCTTTTGAGCAATTTTCTTCCTGAGACCATGCCAAATGCATAATGTGATGGGCAGTAGAATAAATCATTTCTAATATCATGATGTTGTTTGTGGAGTGTTGTTTTGATTTCATAGAGGCATGGTTAGGGTTAAATGTATTCTGCCCATGTGCACTACATTCCACACTCTCAGAGGAAGACTGATAGATAGCCTTTTTGGGTGTTGGCAGGTCACCCCTCTCTCTCTCTCTCTCTCTCTCTCTCTCTCTCTCTCTCTCTCTCGCTTCAGCGGCACACTGTCTCTCAGTCAGACTGGCTGACCTAGACTGTGCTTCCTGTCTGTGGGCTGTTGTTCCGTTGCCAGGTCCCTCTCTTCTCTGCTGCTCTGTGGGACAGGTCTGTCCCAGGGGACTGAGAATGAGGAATGCGCTGAGAGCACTTTCACAAGAAAATGGTGTCTAATAATTCTGTATGACAAGACACATAAATTAATATTAATGAATTAATCTATTCATTCATTATAGTGACCCCACCGAGTTCATGACTTTGTGTACCAGGGGTTGCTGTAGATAAGTTCCAAACCATATAATTAGCATGTCAGCTGAATATGAGCTTCTTCTGGGTAGTTTGTGTGAATAGGGAGAGAGAATAATGTTATGGTAAGCTAGGTACCAAATCAATGCGCTATTCCTTTTTTAACCCTAAGTGGTTCACATTGATATTATTCCTTTAATATGATACTGGGTGTACCCTAACATCAGTGTACGTACACTACAGTCTAGCTTCTGTTTTTGGTTACTCAGCTAGGAGATCTGAGAGAGTTCAGCCGTGCTGCTGTGTCTAATGTGATGTCTTACATGCTGTTTCAACAGTAAACTTTGAAGATAGGATCAGGACTGCAGAACACAATTACATAATGCTCAGACTTCTAGAGCACAGTCAGACGGATTTAAGTTCTCAGCTTGTTTCTAATTCAGTTTGACTTCACCAAGAGGTTGAGTGAAGAACATGACTCTGAATTTGACTTGAAAACCTCTTTCCTTAATTTCTTTCCCTCACTTAAGAAGCAAACCCTCTCAGGAATCCAGACTGGGGAAATTAACCCCGGGCTCTAGGGTGACATGTGGTACAGAGTCAGTGGTGTTACTACTCAGCCAAACTCTGGAATTGAAATGAGTGGGAAACATGATTGAAATGAAGGGGAGACTTACATCAAAATAACCCTTAAAGCAATGTTAAGTGGTGAAGGACAGGGCAGACACTTTTGGGTGCTGAGTGAGTAGTGGTGGTGGGCCACCATCATGGATGCCCAGTGGGACTAGGCTTCATGTTTATGGATGAGCCCCAGACTGCAACTGGCTCCCTGCTGGCCCCCTGCTGGGGAGTGATCATGGGCAGCGTGCCTCCTGGAGCGCTCATCACAGTGCTGCTAATGCATGGTGCTGTGAGGCTGAGGAAGGCTGCTCTCCTCTGGGAAGACTGGGATTAGCCTAGCATACATAGGCCTACTGGGATTAGTACTCGGCTGCTCATGTTGTGTCTCGCCCACTGTGTTCGTTGTGTCTCTCTCAACCTCAGTTCAAACATCTACTTTTCTAACTGAAGCAGTGTGAAAGCTATATATACGGTTTCTCTCAGACTGGCAATGTTGTTCAAGTGTATGGCATAGTGTAACAAGGTCCCTGTATTGTGCTATTCATGCCACTATGAGTCAGTGTCGTGGAAACGTTACAATCTATCACCCTGGCATAGTTGTTTCCTCCCTCCATTACCCCATCACTCCTCACAGCAACAGAAGAAAATCCCATCTGCTTCCCATTCATCCACATATTTATGTATGTATGGTCGTACAGTCCCTCTTAGCTTCTCTCCCAGGGTGAAACAGCTGCACATCTGACGATACACAGATCTGGGCTGCGTTCAGTACGCAAACACGTAGTGGAACGTTCAAGTAAAATGAAACAGTGCTGTACTGAATAACCAGTTGAAAAACAGGGAGGGGTTGGGGGTTCAAAATGCACTGCTCCCCTTTAAATACATCACTCATTGCTTCAAGCCACTCCCGCCACAACCACCAAACAGAGCAAACATATCTCAAAGTCTGTTCAAGAATGTACAAGAACGTTTTGAGGAAACGTGTCATTCAGTACAAATAGTTCCGCAACGTAGCAAACATTCAATCGGACTGAAGGCACCTCAGATCCGCCCCGTGCCAATACTGCATTTGCTCACTAATTAAAGCGCTTGCATGTGGCTAGCTAGAGAGCATTCCCTTCCCCGCCCTCACTCAAATCTAACTTATAAAGCTTCAGCTGGGGCGAAGGCTGTTAGAACTAACTTTATTTTCAAAGCATGCACACAGTGACGCAAAAAAGAGGCCTCAGTCGTGACATTTATAATCACAAAGTCTTTGAGCAGCGCTTAATACTCTCTCTTGCTCTTTCTCTCAAACTGTCCCTCATATTCTCAGTTATGAAGTCTAGGAATCGAGGCTTCAAACAGAAAGTCTACCCTGAGTTATTGAGTCAGAAAGGGAATGAAGATATTGTAAAGGTTGAGAATGTAGCAAGAGGCAAAAGGGTCGATGCCAGGAGGGGAGAACTCCCAGAGTGCGAAGAGCCTTGGCGTGACCCTGGACAACACCCTGTCGTTCTCCGCTAACATCAAGGCGGTGACCCGATCCTGTAGGTTCATGCTCTACAACATTCGGAGAGTACGACCCTGCCTTACACAGGAAGCGGCACAGGTCCTAATCCAGGCACTTGTCATCTCCCGTCTGGATTACTGCAACTCGCTGTTGGCTGGGCTCCCTGCCTGTGCCATTAAACCCCTACAACTCATCCAGAATGCCGCAGCCCGTCTGGTGTTCAACCTTCCCAAGTTCTCTCACGTCACCCCGCTCCTCCGCACACTCCACTGGCTTCCAGTTGAAGCTCGCATCTGCTACAAGACCATGGTGCTTGCCTACGGAGCTGTGAGGGGAACGGCACCTCCGTACCTTCAGGCTATGATCAGTCCCTACACCCAAACGAGGGCACTGCGTTCATCCACCTCTGGCCTGCTGGCTCCCCTACCTCTGCGGAAGCATAGTTCCCGCTCAGGCCAGTCAAAACTGTTCGCTGCTCTGGCACCCCAATGGTGGAACAAGCTCCCTCACGACGCCAGGACAGCGGAGTCACTCACCACCTTCCGGAGACATTTGAAACCCCACCTCTTTAAGGAATACCTGGGATAGGATAAAGTAATCCTTCTACCCCCCCCCCCCCCCCCCCTCTACCCCCAAAAAATAAACAAAATAAATACATTGTAAAGTGGTTATCCCACTGGCTATAAGGTGAATGCACCTATTTGTAAGTCGCTCTGGATAAGAGCGTCTGCTAAATGACGTAAATGTAATGTAAATGAGAACAGTTTAATGGCAGCAGCCAGGCAGTGTGCGAGCATGTTAAATATGTTAAATAAGAACTGAAGTGCCCTGAGGATGTGCACTGTACACACAGTGTAATCTCACATGCAGGCAAGAGACTGCTTAGAGAGAGCGAGAGAGAGCGAGAGAGAGAGAGAGAGAGAGAGAGCGAGAGAGAGAGAGAGAGAGAGAGAGAGAGAGAGAGAGAGGGAGAGCGCACGAGAGAGAGAGAGCGAGAGAGAGAGCGAGAGAGAGAGAGGGATGGATGGATGGATGGATGGATGGAGAAAAAGGTAAATATTTCTCAATCGCAGGCTTTTTTTCTAGATTTATTCAAAGAGCTCAGAGTTTACGATGTAAAAATAAGAGGAAAGCCTGCATGGGCTTTGGGGATATTGGCATGGATACTTCTTTAAAGATTTAATACACCATGAAAAGATCAAAACGACAAAGAAACTCAATAAACCTGGCAGTCCAGAGGATCAAAGCCTTCAAGTAGAACCCAGCTGCTATAGGCCTACATACAGTCTCAGTTCCATGTGAGCCAACTTTTGATATACAGTACGTATACAAAATTCCTTCACATTGACAATCTGTTCCTGGAACATATTTGGAACATACAAAGTCGTCAACAGTTCTTGCTGATACTTTTTGTGTGCCGAAGGAGTGCCTATCATACTGCTACATACTGTAGTTCTACTCAGAGCCCTTTACAGAGCTATGTCTCTTGTTCTACCTGCCCAACCCAAGCCTTTGGTATTGAGAAGTAACATCTCACTTTGGGAAAGCCTGGAAGCTACATGATCAGAGGGTGAAGTGAATAACAGGGGGGACCAGTAGCAAAGCCCTTTAGACCAATAGGATCAGAGTGATCTAGTAATCTAGTCCAGACGTTGCCCTGCGGCTTTCCCAGTTCTCAGGTCCTTCTCACGGGCCGTCCTATGAGTGTTGCTGTTTGATGTGGGGCTGCAGGTGTTTGCACAGCCTGGTGCTGTGAGCTGTGGGTGGGGCTGGCCTGCAGGGACTGAGTGGCTCCAGCTGCAGTAGGTACAGTAGCTATCCATGGTCATGTTCATTAGGGCACACCATAGCAAAACGCATTGGAATGGAAAGCGAAAACAAGCGTTTCTTATTGCACAAGTTCAGGTTGTCCCTCCCGGTTTCAGTCGTTTTTTCTCTCTCCATTTGGTGCCTAATGAATACACTCCAGCTCTCCTCATCTCAGAGTTACAGCCCAGACTGTTTATTTACACATATTAAAGGGGCTTTAGATAGAGGCTTTAAGGCTCAGCCGCATCAGCAGAGGTCAAGACAGGGCAGCACTGAAAGCTACTTGGCGGGGGTTGTGATTGTGGAACACC